GGAGACTCCTCAATACATTATGAGAATTCACACACGACTTAGGTAGAAGTTTAGAAAAAACCAAGAAGAGTTCCCCCGAGGTTTCCTTATCGTCGATAACACACGTAGTTGACCAAAGGTATATTCTCCAACAATGTGTACCATATTGTTGAGACATGCCATAGTGAGCATGTTGGCATATTAGTAGCATATCGATTTTGTAAAGTGCCACGTAGTATCATAAAGACCTCCTCGTCCTTCGTTACTATTACGAACTATTCTCTTTAAACTTACCATTGCATTTCCTATCAACTCGGTAGGCTCTAAGAGAGAACTAGTTGAATATACCCAGGCTTCTGCTTCTCCAAACTGTTGGGTTGTTGTAGCTGGCGAGATAGTAGTCTATTGGAATACTTAGAGGAGGTACCATCGTCGCTGAGGAGAAATGGAGTGTGTTAGAAAAGATTATCATGATAACGCGAAAGGTGAGGAATACTCTACGTCTTGGAGATAGGCCTCTGGATCAGGGTGTCCGGCCAGGTTGAGGTATGAGAATGGGCTTAATAGCGTTGGGAAGAGTGGCATGAGGTCACTTCATTGAGGTGTATCTTATGAAAACTGAGGCTACTAGACAACAGTTGGTGCTGCTGGTGCGACAGAGTACCTCCACTACGATTCCCTATTTCCGTTCCCTACTGGCCTCCACGCTGGAGATGAGATGAAAGTTTGTGCTAGCCTGGGCGTTTTGGTACGGGGTAAACTAGGATACCGTATTGATGTCGCCTATGAACTGCGTAATGACTAGCCTGTCGGATATTTCGAAATGATGACAGGGAGCTTGTGTTGTGGGCGGGAATACAGGAGGTCATCGTAGAGCAGCCTGAAATTCATCGTACGTCATCATGATGATGTCGCATCACGCATTCCGCATAGCACATCAGCCACGTCTCGATCAAACGAACGAGCCGGCCAAAGGTGATGGCATTCTTAAGCTCACAACGAGAAAGCCCCTGGCGGTCCTTTCTCTTGGTAGCGGACCTCAGCCGAATAAGGCACATACCCGAAGGATTCTCAGATAAGGTCGATGGGCAACAACAGTCTGCTCGTCTGATAAATAGAGTTGCGAAAGGTGCCGGGAAGGAGAACGCAGAGCCACGACAGGCTTCGAGGGGTCGACCTGAACCTGTTACAAGGCCAAGGTCCTCCACCGTCAATGCCAAGACTAGATCGATGTCACTGTGTTTCAGCCCTAGTCTTCCGCCAGACAATTTCAAAGGCGGAGTGCCCGTCTTGGATGGAGAATTCGAGGGAGAGTAAGATGCGGACGAATGTACAGTCGGGCAGATCTAGCCAGGTCCGAGATACTCCGTTGGGGAGTGCCGGGACCAGTCGAACTAATCAAACCCACTACACCCACTGCTGTAGCAGTTTTAGATGATATATTCTTTAGGCATGTAGCCGGAATGATGTAGATCTTTCACGTACTCAATGATGTTGTGTGCTTGCGAGGATTTCATGAGTCGTAATCGCGTGGAGACAGTTTTGACTGTACAAACAAAATCCAGCTGCCGCTGCTAAGCTCCGACAATGGGAAGGCGAGCTGTGAAGCAGGGAGCCGCTCGGCCGGTTCGACTGCACGAAGCCGCAGAACCAGCCGAGATTGCTGCGCAATATTGTTCTCGTTCGAAGGCTAGTGGAACGATTCGCGAACGTGTTCCTCGTGTTGTGTGTTTCTGCAGCTACTGGGTGGGAGACGTTTGTGAACTCGCGACCAGTAGCTCAGATGCCCGACCGTGCTCAAACCACAGGCACTGACTGCTCGGAGGTATCAGTGGTGGTGTTTCTGAGGGTCAAAAGTTACCGTCGACAATTTGGAAAATTTTGTACCCTCATTTTGGCTTGAGCTGACCCTCAGCTTTTCACAGGTTGAAGTTGAACCTTTCCGCGGTGGTTGAAGCTGAGTCAGGTCGAAATGTCTCCGGTTTGGGGTCTTCCCTGGGTGGTGTGGGAGGGAAAAAAACCGTGAAGAGCAAGCCCTTGCTTGTCTCTTGAGCCAAGCTGACAGATACGAGTTTCTGTCGGCTTGCTCAACATACAATTGAGTATGTTGCACCAGCTGCAATGGTTGATCGATTTCGAGCTATGCACGCAAGAACAATTGTGTTCTGGAGCGGCGCATTTTTTTTCTGCCCTCCGCCCGGAGTCGGAGCTTGCTCGGCGTGGATTTGACCGGTCAAACTGTTTCACCACCAGTCCCTTTGTGACTGGAGGTTCCATGTTTGACCTTGCACACAACTCTTTGAAATCAGCAGAAACGTGACATCATGGACAGTGATCGGGTACGGGTTCTTCATCCTATGCGTCGAATCCGTCGGTTTACTCGATTCCCATAAAACCTTAAGAGAAGGAACTCTAATAGAAGTAGAAGTGATGCAACGTACCGTGCGGCACTAGTGTTGATAACACACTGCTGGAAGCGAAGGCCAAGCCGCCAGAATAAATCACGACCGATGTCCTCATCATGTAGTTTCAACTTGTTGAACCTACCGCGGGGTAGCGGGCAACGCAGCAGGGAAATACCCTACGTGTCTTTGATCATGGTGATATCAGTCTTGAGGAGGGAGTCGAGTCGATCGAGGTAGAAGTTGACCCAGATCCTATGATAGTTAAGGTCGGAGTATCCAAGGTGACCAAGGGACCTGGCCAATGCACGCACAGCTAACAACTTGTGAGCATGTCACAGTGACAAGTATTACCTGTTTATGCTTACTATTTGATGTATATTACGAGAATACACTGTTTTACACAACCATATAGCGACCCAAGAGCAGTCAAGGTACCTCGAGGAAAAGCGAGTCCTAGTGAGAGGCAGTCAGTGAAGGGGAACTATTACTTGTCTTTCCGTCGATTTCGACCACAACGGACGAGGTGCTCCATCGTTTGTGGTAAATACTCCGCTGCTCTGTCCCTCGAGGGGACTCCAACTTCATTGCCAGGAGTCAACAAATATCGAAGCCGATCCATCTGGAGGAGGCGAGAGAGCTACAGCAGTCGTCTTGTGCATGTAAGCCTTACAATAGCAGCAACAACCACTTCGATATCCGAGTTCTTCAGAAATGCTGCTCTCGAAATCGACGAGGCCAGAAACGACACATCTCGAGGAGACATGACCGAGAGAATTCTTCGGACTCCCCGCTCATCTGCTTTACAGAAACCATTGATGACCTGATGGGAAAATCTATCACTCGCATGTGGATAGCCGCAGTGGTGTACAACTCCGTTCAAAGCCCTGTAATCCGCTTCCTTATCCCACCACTCCGTCGTGCCAGAGTTCACTCTTAGCTGTTTCATGAAATTCAAGGCAAAGGATGCTTCCACCAAGTTATATCTGGCGAGAGCAAAAAATTAAACGATCTCAGTGCGGCTCGAACCGGCGATCTTTCGTTTGAAAGCCTAACGCTATATCGATTACGCCACAAATCATTCGAAACTTAAGTGCCATCCCGGATTACTTCCGTTCGCCCTCACTATCCGAATGATTACAAACCTCGGGATCGACATCAACTCCTCGCTTATGTAGCACGTCGTGAATCCAGGCACGGCAAAAGGTATCATGCCGTTTGTCCATCTTCTGGTACCTGAGAAACTTCACCCTCGAAACGAAAGACAATGATCCCCATGAACCCTCACATCCTCGCCAGCCTCATGAAGTCTGAGGGTGTGAAGTTGTCCATACCTTCATGGATTACTCGGCCGGCATGTTTGATCAATTCTCGAGGATACATTCCACCCTGAAAATAGACAGAGCCGACTAGGTGCCAAACCAATCCCGAATCGGGATGCGAGTTACAGATTTTAACGCTACCACTCCTTTTCCAACTTATCACCTCCACGAAGGCCTCCAGGACTTGAAGGAGTTCATCCCGACTGAAGTCGGCAATTTCTTCACAGACACGTTGAGTAATTTCCTCATAGAGATCTTGGCCGGCGTACTGAAAGGAGGTGAAGACGTACAGCTAGAAAAGATCACAGTGTGTGTTCGAATTGAATTTGGAAGTGTGAGTTTGAACGATCAAAGCTGCCATCTGAGAGCTGATATCAATCTATGAAGTCCATCACGTGGCCACTTCCCTAACCTACGTGCTGCAAGCCTAATGCATTGACGAGAGCGGCGACATCTGCCTGGTCCATCGTCCACATCGTGTCCTGTGCAGAAGCACACGCCTCCAGTCTACGCGCCAAAGGAACATGGCTAACATGACCAATGTCCATCAATCGTACTATTCGATCATAATAGTTGCTTACACTCGTCCGATGTGGGCCAAAGCTATTCCTATCTCTGACGCTTGCTTAACGTCGATGCTACCGAAGGCGGTGAATCTGTGTCGCGCTGTACAGTCCGGGAGCGCGAGCACTTTTGTCCAGAATGAATTCTGAGTAAGGCAGCACCACTGATACCAACCAAGGCACGTCAAAGATGGAGGAAAGCCGCATACGGTCGATGTCCTACCAATGTGACTTCGCCTTCTTGACACATGGCCTTGAAGAGCTCAGTGACAATCTCTGGCGGGAGGAAATGCTCATTGTCATTAAGCCACGTCCATCTGGCGCAGAGTAGACCACAGAACTCACGCCACTTCTCGTCTGCAATAGGGGATGGTATTAGTACCACTCCGGTGAGCTACTCGTGACCAATTCCAATAGAGAGTAATTGAACGTAAGCAAGCAGTGATCGTCGTATAAACTTTCCCCATGCATACCCGATGACGCCGAGCTCCCAACTACTACCTTTATCCTCACTCCCACAGCCGAATACGCCGTACATAGTCACTGCTTTTCTGGTGGCATCGACGAGATCACCCCCATTAGAGAGGATCGCTATAGGATCCTGTGAGCTCAACGGTCCGCCCTGCTCCGGAATTGTCGCCGACACCATCCATCTCCGACTCGCGTTGATTATTCGCAGGGCGGATCTAGCAGTAGCAGCGGAGCGGAGGTGGACAGCTAGCATAGTCTCGCAAGCACTTGGAGGACCCGACCACACTGAGTAACCCAACAGACATACCGATAGAAACGAAAGGATACGAAACACACGAATATTCACAAGGAGGTCATCACCAGTCGTCAGATGGCCGTCTTGGTCGTCTTGGTCGGGGCCAACCCCTCCCAAAGGCGTAGGCTGCCGCTCCTACTATCACTACTATGGCTGATCCGACTTTCATAGGGCCTATCTTGAGACAGTGGTATGAGGCTGATTGCACTATACGATGTAGATAGTAGTAGAACTCGTGTGGGAATATACACTGGAGGCCATAAACACCGATGAAGGTCCTGAAAGAGGGCATATACCCCGCCCGTTGAGTGTCACCAGCTGATTCTACCTCGTGATAGGTAGAATCTTATACTTCTGTATTGCAGGGAAGTCGTATTTTACTGCTTCCAGCATCGGTAGGATCTGTATCGAGCAGCTGCGGTTTGCTAGGATTTATGTATTTCTACTCACCGCACAAGTAGTGAAAGCAAGGCCGTCGAATCGGGATGCAAACGGCAGTGATCGATAGAACGCCCGAAGATCGTCTGCCTCTTGACTGGCTAGAAATGACGAGGAGAGGTATGGCCGCAGGTTGGAGCGACCTATACAGTGATAGAGCCGCAATCCTAGTGGGAGGGGTTCGCTACTACCTAGCAAGTCAGCAACCCCTGGTACGAAGGTCTTGGCTGTGAACTCCCAGGCGTCCCATCTGTACGGGTCTCTCATTGAGGTTACTTGATGTGATATCTTCTGGGCTTGGGCACTCGCACTCCCCATCCATCCAGTCACTGTATTGATCAGACCCAACCTCCGCCTCTCCCCAGCGGCAATGTCTTCGAATAGAGGATCCGAAGTGCCATAAAACATCTCAACTGCATCGAGGCGCGGAGAATTCTGCCATGGGTCCTCGAAAATCTTGCAAATCTTGCCTTGATTTGCATTTCCTTAACGCTTCCCACGAACTTCGGAGCATCGGTGCAAGCCGGCCGTTCCAGTCGTGCTTTACCGCATGTAATATGCTGTTTGGACAGAAGACAAGACTTAAAACTGACGAAGAAGCTCTCAGGCCGAGCGCCTCTGACCTACGCCTGCGTGCAAACATGCAGTACCCATCATAGTTTGGTCTCTGTCCTACCCTCGGGTGACGCTGGTGGTGCGGTAGTCGTCCGTCTCACTGGCTCGAGGGGGTATCTAAGTGAGCCAGTCCAATGCGTCGAAATGGCTGGTCCGTAATGAGATCATTAATTTCAACTAAGTTCGTAGGAAAGTGTCTATGTAGGCGACCGACCGGAGGAGGAGCCTCTACTAGGGTAATTGACTTTGTGAGTCCGCGCTTGCACTGACCTAATCGGTCACGCCTTGCCTTCAAGTAACTGTAGTGGTGAATGCAGTAGTACTAGTCGTGATGGTACCAGCAGAAGGGTGTTGTTTGTTCTTTTAATACCCTCATCCTCGTAGGTCCTCGACTGCCCTCCCCTAGAGCCATTCAAATGAGAGGTGTACCGCTCGGTATCTACCATAGTCTTGATGGAATTTATTCTTCTACACTTTGCTAGATGCTCTACACTATCAGCATCCGTTCATAACCTACCCTCTCCCCCCCCGAGGTGCCTTCCTGCATGCTCCTCCATCCTCACTTCCTGTAGACTCCCTCATTGTCAGTTCGGGTTAGTTTGTCATGCCAACTCAACAGCTCAGCGGGTTGTCTTGGCGACACTCATCATCGGGGCACACGAATGATGAGCTGGCGCAGTTCAACAAAAACATGGAATTACGTCGTCGAGTAGTAGTAGGGAAGAGTGGCGAAGTATTGACTGTGAAGGGTGATGCCTGCGAGAGGTATCAGTAGCGTAAAATCGGTTCCCATTCATGAGACAGTTCCTATAGGGAATGGCAGCAATCGGGAGTTTCCACAACGGGGGCCGTTGTTGGTGTAGAAGGCCCGTGCTCAGCTGACAGACATGCAGTGGCGTCGTCAATCGCAGCCAGGACTCCTTCCCCACTTAAGAAGAGTGAGCCATTGAGCTCTCCCTCGGTAAGTGGCATTCGAGCTTTTCAGAGAGGCTGTCTCTGACTCCATCGACTAGTGGCCAGAGTGATCTTAACGGAAGCTCCCCTAAATATGGGATAGAGCCAGAAAGGACCCCCTGCACTGTTGAAGCACCTGAGGAACACAATGAATGTGGTATGATAGGGTTGATAGGGCTGCATTCGATGTCCCTTCTTGTGTAGCCCATTCCTTCTTTTTAGTGACACCACGAGTGCTAGTCTTCAACAACACAGCGGCAGGGTCCAGCAGCTTATCGTTCGACGTACCAAAGGATCGGCTCACCTTGGCTGTCAGTATGTGTACTCCTCGATCCGCGCGGTGGGCTCAAGATACTTATGCGCACTGTGAAGAAATTACGAGAGGCGTCGAATCCCCTCGTGTTCAAGTCGTTTGTCTCCGTCGAGAAGTAGGCAGGCTTAGAGAACTCCTAGAGGCCAGTGAGCGGCGGTGTCGAATTCTGGCGGAACATAGTGATGGATTTTGGGAGGAAGAGGTGTATGATATCATTAATAACATTCATAGGACGAATCACGACTTGCAACACTCTGACGACCGCAATCAGCAGGCTACTCAGAAGAGCGGACTTTCCGGGAGGCTCTGGCGGCTCTTGTCGTGCTCTAGGTTCCTCCGCTAGGTAGATTCATAACTTCGCAGTATTCATATATCGTTTATCTGATGGTCCTCTGGCAGCGTCGATGGCCTGCTTGGTCATGGCTGTTGGACACGCTCTGTGGTAATTAACATCGTGTTCGAGCATATGTCTCTACGTATATCTCTCTGTTGAGTTCTCGATTGCCCTAATTGTTGTATGAGCACTATTACTATATAGCTGGTGTCTGTACATGTCCGCTGCTACCGCAAATCGCCGAACTCCTGGAGATTTCCTCAGAGAGGTAGAGGTCGACTCCTGTCACTCTGTGGTGTACGGTTCGGCTCTAACTAGTCCAAGCTCCGCATCGGTTTGTCAGCAGTGGAAGAGTTTTATTCGAGATTGTCTCCTGTCTACCACTACGTGTGGCATGATTTGCTACTCCTAGGTACGTGGGTGCGGAGTGCGGGTTCGACTTAACGACGGTACCGACTACACCGGCCAACTCCTAGCCTTGGACGGCTTCATGAATCTAGCAATGGATGATGCTATCGAGTTTCCTGATGGTTGGAAGAATCGTGCTATAGAGGTACAGGTCAGTTCACTTGCTTCTCTAGTAGGTGTTAACAGCGGCTCGGAGGGACGTCGTTATGGCCAGGCTGTTATTCGCGGCAACAACGGTGGGTGCAGGCTAGCACCTTGACTCGCTACAGTTATTGTACTTCAGTACTCTACATCAGTATGCTTGAGCGGAAACAGGAGGAGGAGCAGGCAGATGATGCTGCGGTTGAGAAGGCGTGAAGTGGAGTCTGTCATCTTCAACAGCGTTTCCATTATGCGATGCTGCTTGTCGGGTTTGTGAATCGCTTCAGAACTGAGGGAAAGGGAGCTTAGGTGCGCACTATGGAATAGCTTTGAATCAACATGTTGTTCTGGCTTCAAGCCGTGTTCTGCTGCTCCTTAATCCCATAGACTTCGGTAGTCACAGCAACAAGCAGTACGAAGCTGATGTTGGTCATCATCAATGAACGTGATGTTAGTATTAGCCGATAGCCAATATGCATTCAGCGTTCAACTTGCCAGTGTACTCTACCGTTGAGGTGTCGTAGATACCGTGGTCAGACGCGGTCAGTTTTATGTGCTGAATGAATTGTCGAGAGGCTCCATTCGATAGTAGTGTGTTGGGTATAGTGACAGAGGGTAGCTCGAGTTGGTATTAAAAGATGTGGCTTCCTGTCAAGGTGAAGTGCAAACACCATCGTGGCTTCACCTGTCTATGGTCACTAGATGGTTAACCTGATTATTACTCTTTTTATATTCTAAAAGATGGTCTCTGTGTTTGAGTACTGTCAATGTGGGTAGTAGGAGTTACCCTCGGTTCAATGGCGCCATCGGAAGGCTCTACCATGCAGAGTCTGCCTGAGACTACGGGTCCATGTGGTCTCGTTGCTAATGCCCTCTACATGAGAGTTCTCATGCCTGTGGCGGGCCGTCTAGATGGGGGTCTCAGTCGTGTCAATGGGAGTCTGGCCAGTGTTGCTGGTAGAGTTGACGGGTAGGCTGTGCACTACATGCTGACCATGAGCGGATCCTTAGATATCTGGACACCGTTGAGAGACAGCTGGATCCAAACTTCAAGTATCACGAGGCTGCCAGGGCTATGGTGGTTTGTGGAGAGGACATGGTCGTTGAGCGCTGGTAATTACGGTATGAGGTCCTGCAAGAGTGTTAGTCGTAGGCGGCCAGGAAAGTGTGGGAGGACAAACGAGTCGGTGGTAAGATGTGAAAAGGGTCCTGAGGAGGTACATCGTGGCCGCTTAGTCTGGTGCTGCATGTTATGATATCGAGAGGTCCAGTCGTCGGATGGCATCGGATCGATCCCAAAGGGCTGGGCCTTCTTCGAGGTGGGCCGGGGTGCTTGCTCATGGGGTGATACGATGGGGTCTTCATCGCCAGGCACAGTGGGAGGAGGGCTAAGAGGGCTGATTCGGAATTGGGTAAATCGAGGCTAGCGATAGCGAGCGGAAGACTGGTGATGGTGAGTGAGGGCAGATGATGGGCAATCGTATCGGGTAGTATTGTAGGCCTTCCGCAACGCGTGGACGACCGCTGCCTCTCCTGTAAGGCTTGTGCATAGAAGGTCGGAGTTTGTTTCACTTCATATGGGATTCAGTTATGGTTTGCAAGGTGCTCTCCTGGGGCCATCCAAGAGGCGATCCTTGATAGGGTCCGAGAACACCACATCCTACAACGACCATCCCTTGTGGTCATCAGAGTCTCTAGAGTAAGCGTCAAGATTTGCTATTTCTCGGAGACCCCGCTCGCAGCGCCTTGTTGGAGCCCTCGCTCAAGAGGGTCCACTTAACCTGACCGGGCTCTACCATAACCTCTGGGCTGCCGAAAGTGGGAGTTCGAGTGCACCACTGTCACTGCGAGGGGATATCGTCAGGTGGGTGGATATCCTTGCCACCCAGTTGGCTCAGTAGGGTATAATTTTATAGTCGTCATTAGTCTTCTTGTCTTCTCTTGCTACTCCCTTTCAGGTTCATACCACCTACTACCACTACTCTAAGCATGTCTAATAGCCTTCGCAGCCTCCTGTCTGCGGGTACAGGAGGTATGGCAGGTCGACGTGCTGAGAGAGACAGCGATGAGGGTGAGAGCGCTCAATAGCGCCCTTGCCACGAGAATATAACTCATGATCAGTTTGAATCGCTCTCGGGTTCAAATACTAGGCGCTAGTGTTGATTACTCATTTTAAAGAGTATCGCATCCGTATGGTGTTTGCGGTTGCTAGGATGATACTTTGATTGGAAGTGTCCAGTGACATTCATGCGGTCATTTCGGTCAGCGGCCAGTATGCTCACCCTCCTCGCAGTCGTATCCTCCGATGAAGATTTCGCTGGTGTCTTCTTGTCATTGATCAGATACGAGCAGCGAGCACGGTTGCACTACATCAACACGTCGTAGGTGGATATGCAACGCAGAGGACATCAACCGAGAGGTGTTGGCCCTGCCACTACTCATAAGGCGGCTGAGCTCCTGTTCAGCTGGATCATCGCATGGAGGTGCTGGCCAGCAAGGATTCGATATCAACAAGGCGGACCAGTTTCGGCTATACATTTGCAAGTAAAGTGCAGGCGTCTGCGTCATTCGTTATAGGTTTGGATTTCCGTTGTCAAGCTCCGTCGATGGCGCCTGTGGTTGCATATCGACAAGAACGTCGTGGGGATAAGAGTGGCACTCAGCCGAAGGGAAATGATGCCAAGCCTGGTGGTGTCGATGGAGAGAGCAGTGGTGAAGGAGAGGTTAGGCCGGGGCATCGAAGGAAGCGATTGACAAGAGAGGAGAGGAAGATGAAAAGACAGCGCAAGAGCAAGTCGTAGTAAGACGTATTCAGTCGCCGCCGGTTGTGGCGAATGGTCGCTGTTTAGCCACCCTACGGGCGTACTGAGAGGGGACCTTGAATTCACTGAAGGCAGACTCCCTCAGAGGTATCGTGTCTGATATCCTCGAGTTTGGAGTAGCATGTGATTCTGGAAGTATCCACTAATAACATCGAACATACTTCCGCGTTGTCAATGATGGAGATGAGCTGATCTGAGGGCAAGAGAGAAGTTCGTATGACCTGCGACCTGTTGAGTCATATTCACGGAGTCGCCTCTGTCGACCACCAAGGCCAGGACGGTATGATAACTGCTTTCACATCCGCTGGAGATCACGCCGGTCCAGCAGCTACAGCGTTCGGGTGAGGCCGACTGGCGTGGATTCATCGACGATTTGCCTGGTTCTCGATAGGATAAAACGGATATATTTTGCGGCCAACAATAAAGATTGGAAGCTCGACTGTAACAGTGGTGACGAACAGGATTGCATAAGCGAGTGTCAAAGGGAGTTCAAGGTTCCCCCGATGGTTGAATCCTAATGGTTTGTAGTTTCACCATCCTTCAGGGCGATGCTCTAGCGACCCACGAGTGTACAGCCTCTGTACAGAGGGCTTACTCGATGTGAGTTCGTACTTGACTAAGTTATCATTGCGAACAGTGAGTTCCTAACGTCCTTGTAGGATGCCAGGAGGGGGTGGGCAAATGCCTACGTGTTTCCCAGTGACCAGCCGGGCATTTGTACAAGGTAGAGGATGGACACCTCTTCAAGGTAGAGCGATCATTACAGAACGATAGTCGATAGTCGTTATTGTCAGATATCGACGTTGGGGATCTTCTGCTCACGAGCTCATCTGCATGCGAGGTCCATTATGAGCCAGTTATAGGATGGCTCCATTATGAAGCTCCCTCTCCCAAGGTCCACCTTGTTTGGTTTTGGAATTTACTCATGGACTGTTCCCCCTGCAGAGGCGACACCGATTTCTCCGCCTTACTACTTCATCCCTGGCGGGAGTAGCTAATCTGTATCTATCACCCGATCACCTTGTTCTCACGAATCGAGGGTACATCCCTGCTAGTAAAGTGTCATGCATGGATACCGCAGTCTTCCAGTGAGTTCTTGTGCCTTCAACGCTGTCGTTGTTATGTCGCCCGTCTCGGTCAGACTATCAGCCATGGATCAGCAAATGCACACGCGGAAGGTTCAGTCAGTCGGAGTGGTGGATACCTGTGATGCTGGATTGGCCAGCCCGCTACTCCCCAGTGGAAATGTTATCATAGAAGGGACACTCTGCAGTTGCTATTCTTCGCCGTGGGGCTTGAACATGTCCCACGATACAATTCATGCCCTGACAGCACCTCTCCGCGCTGGTATCGTCCCCCTACCTCCTAAGGCGACAGGAGGAGTGTTTGTATACTACGACTATCTCGCGAGGTCCACTAGCTTCTTTGCATGACCGAAGAAGGATTTGTTGTCGATAGTTGAAGCATCGCGTTCCGGAGTTGGTTCATGATTGTATCAGAATGAGCATTGGCAAACCTCGCAAACGAGTCGTTGTGAGAGGAAGTGCACCTTGAAATAAGTTTCAATTCGTGGAAAACAGCCACAGATTGCATGAGGGTAAATGTCGGGAACCCGAGACGGCGAGATGTTTGAGATACTAGTAAATATTGTGTAGTTCACCGACTATGTTGTGCGGGATTGCAGTGCGATGCGCCGTTGCCAACAACCGTTCAGAAGAACGGAATATCGCGGCTGTTCCAACAAGTTTTTTTGTTGGTTAATGACGAGATTCTTAGGTGAAACTTCCCTCCAATCTTGAAACCTTCTGCCTCTACCGTAGCGTGAGGAGGTTCGGGGCGATTGATCGCGACTACCACGGTGGGAGCTCCACCCGAGGTGGCATGACAATGTTCGGAACACAGGAAGACATCACTCTCGAGAACAATGCCAAGGAAGACGAAGCTGAACTATTCTGAATGAAATGGGACTCAGAGCTACAATGCTACAGAAATTATATCATGATTCATGAAGTGGAACTATTAGAGGCTCTTCTGACGAGTCCATACTTTCGGATCGGCTCGGCTGCTCGGGGCTGTTAGGGCTTCTGCAAATCAGCTCCTTGCGTGGGCCCAATGATGCAACATACAGAGTCTGACGAATAACACAAGTTCACCTGTTGACGCTTACATATATCATCACACCGTTATACCAATTCCGATTTGGGGCGGAGCGGCACGAATGTCGCATGAAGAAGAAGGGAGCAGTAACTTACCTCAAGTCGTTCTCTCGCCCATCCATCGTCGCCAAAGGTATAGTTCCACAGCACAACGCGTATACGGGAGACCCGTGCCCATTCGAATGACTGATGAGGGAGTAAACCATCCACAACGCAGGGTTCGTTCTGCAACATCCTCTCAATGAACGTATCAACCCATGTAGGCATCGGAGCACCTCGCATAAGGCCAAGAGGAACGAACCAGATCCGCCAATCTAGTCTGGGCATGTGGCCAACCGGAAGGAAGTAGGGTGGATTCTTAGGATCTACTGGTTTGTGTTTGAAGGCAATCTCGATCCAAGGACCACCGGGTGAAACCTCAGCCTCAAAATTGAGCTCCATGCGGAACGTTGTCATACGCGCGAACAATCCATATCCACTACCAACGGCCATAGGACGCAAATGTTGACTCACGGTCGATGCCCAAGCACAAGCTGGATGGCTGGGATCTAGGGTGTACAATAGAGGCTGGGCAACTCCGAGGCCAACAACAAGGCCATAACAAATAGAAATCACATCTACGAGGCGATAAGGATCATCCCGAGAAGTTCCATGGTAAGATACCGAGGAAGCGAGGGCACACGTCAGATAATTGAAGAAGCCGTAATTGCCTGTGAAGGCGATCAATATCATCAACAGAATGATCCACAGGGCACCTATCGCCTCGAAGGGATAAGGGAGGAGAAGGAGCCATGGAACCGGGAAAAGCTGTACGAACAAGGTGAACCAGACCATTAAACGGCTAATCCTAGGAGTCAGCTTTCGATTTATGTGATAGCCAATGATAGTGGGCAAGGGTTGTGTCCAGAAGTGATAATCCATAGCCGTCAATGACGACCACTTGGGGCATCCCGAAAGAACCTTGCAAAGACCAGACGATAGTATCAACTTGAATAGCAATATCCGCAGACTCCAAATAGCACCAAGACGTAGAGGAGGCACCGAAAGAGCACATCCTAGAGCGGCGCACTCAAGAAGGAGCTGATCCCACTGCAGGTTAAGGAAGGTACCACAGCTACGTTTAAGGATCCAATATGTGAACCAACAGACAGCCAGTGATAGGGTGGATAAGGGTGGAGGGAGGAATATACCAATGAGGGCACACGACAGGCCAATATCACACAGCGTTACCAGACGGGTAGTGAAGATATCCTGAGGCAATACGGTACGGAAGTGGGGCAGTTATGCCAGAACATTATAAGATATCCTTTAGTCTACTCGATTTCTCGTGCCACAATCCTGGGATGTACTTAATTCTGATCAATTTCGTCAACTGGGGCAGTTATGCCAGAACCCAAGTACACAAATTTCCTCTTTCGCCACAATCCCAAGATAGTCTTGATACTAATCGATTTCTTCAGCCGGGGCAGCTATGCCAAAACCTTACAAGATATGCCTCAGTGTACTCTAATTTTCTTCGGTGCCACGATTTCAAGATATGCTCAATTCTAATTGGTTTCTCCAACCGGGGCAGCTATGCCATCACTATTATAGAATACGTGGGGCCGATATGCCACCGCGAGACTGCCGCCTATTTCCAGCGGCAAGCATTTACTGAGTACACATCAGAGTTTTTTTCTGATAACATGAACCGCCCCGTTAGAGTCCAATGACGGTATATCTGCCCGAGAGTAAAATCGATCTCACTCACGGCGGAATAAGTTGCGCTGAGGATTGTGGCATAGCTGCCCCAGTCCGAGTGGCTCATCTCCCTCAGAGAATAATATACCATTGAAAACCGAACCCTCCCGACGCACATCGCCATGAGCCTCCCTGTGCGACCCTGGACCCCACAGGTCCCCTCGCATCCACGCATGGCTGGCGATCTCCGCATGAATCATCGCTTCGGACACCCGAGGAAGCTGTAGGCCGCGGGACAGGAGACCCTGACTGCAAACCATGTGGGCATACCAGGTTGCCTTCCCACCCTGAGCTCTTTAATGCGATTCCGGGCTGGTAGTATACCCATGGATCCGCACAGGCCTGGAAGTTGCCAACGAAGCGATAAGAATGCCAGAAGGCAAACGACGTGAATGCTCTGAGAAAAGCAATAATGTATCCTGCCCTATACCGCTATGGAATAGCTGCAGGATCACGAGAAACTACAAGCCTTCGAACAGACAAGCATCTGCACTGGCCGTTGCTATTGACACCCCCACACTACCACACGGGTCCGTTCGGCTACTATATAGGCTTCATGGATACCCATACAGTAGACAGACTCGTACACCATTGTGCAAGTAGTTAGGACAAGTATAGCTGTCACGCCGCCAGCCCCCAGAGCTGACCTCCCAGTACCGGCCAATAGACGCTCCTGCAGGCCCCGGAGCAGCCAGTGCCGGTTACTTGCTGCGGACATGTCAAAGAATCCTTATAAATCACTGCACTCCAGGGTTCCCAAGCAGAAGCGTTTAAAGTCTCGGAACGAGACCTGTCGAAAAGACTTCTCATGCCAGTATAGCCAGCAATCACTTTCTACAGCAATACTTGCACACAGCTGATGCTTTTAAACCGGAATTGAAGGACCCTAAATGGCCCAAACGCATCACTACTCGCCAGTTACAGCAATTGGGGAAAGTGGTAAAATATGAAGTCATATGCTATCCACAGTTCATCAATCTAGTGGATGCATCCGCGCGTCTTTCGGCTACGGACACGACCAAGTTCAATTCACGACCAATTCAATAGGTCAGCTGGGATCGACATCATCAAATACAGAGTTCCCAGAAGCTGTCACTAAATTCTGTGTCCAATTAAATTTCGCGTTCGCCCCAAAATCAAAGGGCCTTTCGATTGCGAGATCGTCAGGTTCCAGGTGGATTTTCCCTAGTCCGGTACTTATGAGTCATAGACTTCTCTCTGTCGCTTTCCTGGACTCCCGCCTTATCCTCTGAAGCCTCTGGTTTAACTTATTCGTATTGTCACGGGTCCTGAGGACGCCGTCCTCTAGTTATCTCCCTATGGCAGGTTAATACGCGATCCATGGCCTCTCCGCAGCACATTTTGTATGGTGAGCATACGCGTTCGGCTATCGGGAACGAAGCCTACGGTCCACGGCGTCCAAGAGATAGTCAGGACATGTTGACGTCAAATAAGCAGGCCAGACTCCTTGACTCGGGACAAGGAGCTCTTGAGTCGAAGGCCGGTGGTGCAGTGAGAGTAGAAGAAGCCACTGGACCAGAACTCCTCGATGAAGCAAGCGTAGTATAAAGTGAGAGGCAACTGAGTGGATGTGTACACGAATAGATACCGGAAGTGAGGGTCGCTCCTAGTAACACCGAACCGGACGCGCAGAGCTGGAAGCCTATAAGCCCTCATGCGGAAAGCCCTTCAGTCCCTAGCGGGGATTGCGTAAGTCCTCCAGTATTGACTCAAACCTCTTATTCTCTAGCAGCTCTGTGTTGCAGGTGGGCACAAATAGTGAAACGCCAACACTTTCTCAACAGTCGAACTTGGAGCAGATGAAAATGAGAGATATCTCAGAGATGCCGGCGAGACCTGAGGCAGGTCCCCTGCAACGGGCAAGCTATCTCCATGACGTACACAAGAGAAGTTTAGTCTAGGTCTTCAGGAGATCGCACAAGAGAAGACTGTATGTCCGTCGTCTAGTGTGTGCGCAGATGGAGTTTCTCGCGGTCCGGCCTCGTTGCCTGAGAGCCTCATGAGAGCACCTGGTGGCCCAGTAGACTCCTCTAAGCCTTCGGTTGTGAGCAAGTCGACGAATGATAATCGAACTGTCGAGGAGGGCGTCTCGCATATCGTCAGCGAGGATGAAGAACCCGTGGCGGGGAACAAAAGAGGGCCTGGTGGCCGTTGGGTCAGGATCCATATTTTTCAAAATGAAAACGAAGCTGATGAGTGGCTCGGAAAGCTGCAGAAAGAACAAATCCATTCAACTCTTAGGTAGTAGTCTGAAGCTAGATCAGCTCAGCTGATACCCGATCTGCTCTTGTGTGATGTATTAGGACAAATCGAACAACTAGTGGTACGAAAAAGTACATGTACTGCAGTGCCTGCGGCCATCCAAGTCGCAACCGTCGGATAGCAAAGGACCAGGACGCAGGAGAGGCACCTATTGTGCCTGAGATGATCATGGTGCACTATTTGGCGATGAGTTCAGTCGTGCATGTTTACTCCAATGAGCAACCACATCGGCATCATCATCATCCTCCTCCCAAAGAAGGACGATCATTGGGCATGGAACCGCGAATGAAGGAGCTAGTGGATGAACAGCTGGCTCTAGGAGTGTACTGCATACCGGTGATACAAAGAGCATTGCGGGATATCACGGGAATACAAAGTGAAGCGGAGCTTCCAGGATATAGACAAGTAAGGTTACGTGTTTGCTTCTAAGTCGAATCGTCCTTGTAGATTGAGTCCTATGTACGTGTTTACAAACTCGCGGAGAGGGCCGGCAACGTTCCATCGATTCAATAAAGTCTTGGCCTACTTGCATAATTATAAATCGCTCTACTAAACCGTGTGGTTGCATCGCCTTTCGGGAGAATCGAAGTGGTTTTGGGTTCTGACCGCACCGGAACGGAATTTTTCTTGGTTCACTTTACGCTGTGTGAAGCCACGAATTGCCACTTTCATGTGGGTCTCGTTTAACTGATGAAATTCCTAATGCTCAGAGGACAAACGCATGTAATACTACATCTGGGTACGGAGTTGATGTGGAAGGACACGACTCGACCCCGAGCCGGTTACCTGTGAGCGTTGTACGTGGCTGTTAATGCACTTGCAGTCGTCGGAAATCTATTAGTGTTGCAGGAACGTGACAGTTCCAAGGCCATAGTCAATCTATACAGCATCCCAGACTTGGTGTATAGATGATGGTTAACACACGCGGCGTGTTATGCACTGGCCGGGAGTGTGAGCATCATCTAAGAAAACCTCATGGGTTTTTGGGGTCGGTTCTTCAGGGAAGTTGCAGTTCTTGTTGGACCGCTAATGCCTCCTAAGAAGGCTCCGCCGAAGAAAGATGGCGCAGCAGATGAGAAGGATTATGATCTCGAGAACTTCATGTTGCAGAAACGGCTAGAAGTGATCCAGCATCGGATTCAACTCAAAGAGGAAGTCATTGTAGTGATAGGGCCGCACTATTATCGCGGCCGCATGGATGTTGGTTCAGGCTGAATGTCAAGAGAAAATGGAGGAGCAACGGAAACGGAAAGGTATCGTATGCCAACGTATCGCAGCCGCCGCTATGCTGTTGAATGTCGGTTTCTCAGCTGATTTGGAGAGTCAGAGTAAGCGAGAGTTGGAGAGACGGGAAGAAGTGCTTGCTGAAATGACACGACAGTTCAATGAGATGCAGAACAGTTTTACTGACCGCATCGTTGATTTGAAGGAACAGGTTAAGAGGGCCCAGGAAGACATAGGTAACTGTAGTCTCCGTCGCGGCGTATTCACTTCTCTCCGCTGTTCAGTTGAGGTCGAGAACATGAAGGAAACGACACGCAGAGAGAAGGATGATGAAATCGCTAGAAAAGTACGGGGGAGCTCTATGTGTCTGTGTGGGGCTACAGTAGAGGCATGATCAGGGTGGTTGAGTCGAATTGTCATCGTGTCTCAGGACGAGACTATTCGACAGCTCACGCTCAAGATGGAAGCTATGGCATTCGAATTCGGCGATATGTTAAAGGAAGTGTTGGACAAGATGAGTCAGCGTATCGAAGTGACTCATTCTGGTATATTCCTAAGAGGTTCTCGTGTGGCCTATGACACTTCCAGGTTGGTCTCAAACTGTCCGAGCGGATGTCGATGAAGCCGTAGCTCCTTTCACTAAGCAGCCCCTCATTAGTCGCCTGCGAGAGTTCGAACTGGTGGCACACGGTGATATCCCCCTTGATGACAAGGCAGAGTGAATAGGATATATACTATAGTGCGACTTTGTTCATGGACGAGCACGTGTTGTCCAACTGATCAACTGTCTCTATTTCTGAGTTCAATTCGTGGGCTGGAATGGGCAACACGAAAATACTTCGGGACCTTTACGACGTTAATTCCTCCACACGAGGAAAGGTTGCTTGTAATGCGGTGAGCTTTCCGTGTAAACGCATGCATAACAAACACCCTCGATGAGATGTATCGGTTTAACTCGGGCCTTACAGTAGTCGTATAGCTTTGCCTCAGATTCAGCTCCGTGAGCTTAGGCATGCGTATATTGGCGCCGTAGACATGTGAAAGGAAAAATGTGTCATATGTCGGCAGACCTAACACCTCTTTCCGCCAGGTACGTTATTCGGACCGTTTGTAACTGAACAGTTGTAGATCATAGCGACGAGTTGTCCTACTCGCTGGATCCTCATATTCACCATACTGAAGGAGAAAACTCAGAAATACCCTTGAAAATGGAGAAATCATTCATTAGAGCGAATTCGACCTTTCTGCCATTCTCCATCGATCAATTCCAAATCAGCCGAGACAGGCCTGTGGGAGGCATTGACTTCAACACGATAGAAGCAGACCTACACTAAGTGTGGCGTGTACATCATGGTCGCTAGTGTCGCTAGGCCAGCACAGATAGCACATGCTACACACATGAGCTTTCTACTACGGAGTATCCAGAACAGGCCAAGGCCTATAGTGGCGCCCAACTTAGCTGCTGCTCCTGCGAAGCCATGCATAGTACCTTGAGTGGGAACACTACGTGAGAAGTGGAAGAATACCTTTACTTCTAATAAGACTGAATACGTATGCGAGTATACTTCTAATATGGATATGAAATTCGTGAGATTCGAACTATTCGACAAACGTATGCGTATTGTGGTCCATAGGATTCCTATTCTTGAGAAAGTTCTGTTTGACCAATGCATTGTCGATAGCGGCACTCGAAAATGTTACCCGATGATAAGTATATCCGAAATACATACTAATAGTATTACCTCGAATAGGTGTAGGCCAGGATTCTAGTGGTATAAGGTAAGTAGTGATGTTGGGCCCAAAGTTAAAGAAACGGAAAAATGCATTAAATAACAAACAATCAGCAACACGATCATTTACAGCACTCTCGGGGTTCTCCACAGACCAAAGTGACAGGGCTAAACCGAAGAAGCAAAATGATAGTACCTAAAGTCACATTTTGTAGATCATTTTTCAATACCCCCAACATACCACAAATCCGATCAATTGCATCAGCTTAGGAGGTACTTTCTTGACACCTTTGATACCGAGGAAATACCCAGTCAATGATAACCCCACGACCATGAGGCTCAGCATGTTATCCTGGAACATGGCCGGAGGATCGTTACCAAGTGCACTGGGGACTGTCATGCTTTCATCGTCTGCTACCTACATACGCGATAGTAGCAGCAGCATGAGGTAGAGGCAAGGCTTACAGATATGAGTCCCAACACTCCATCACAGTAGAAAGTGATGTCGAATAGGAGCCATGGCACCGCACAGCCCGCCAGGCGCTCTGGGTACTCCATCCCCGTTTTCCAACACGACCTCACGTGCGACCTTATCCGAGTGAAGGAAGGTCTGACCGAGTTATTGGATAGCAACTAGGACGAACATTGAGTACCTCGTAGGAGTCCGCATCCCCATGAAAAGGTTCAGATCGGCTCGGTATTCGTAGTAGAATGTACTGTCGTTAAGCCACATTAGAGCGGCTATAAAGAGCAAGCATAATATCGCTATAGGGACGCAGAACAATATCAATAGGAGGGCCTGGGAGTTGAACTCGGCGCGGCCCTTAGTTTCTGCATCAAACGCCGCTAATAAGCCCACCACCAGAAGCCCTCCGAAGAGCTGTGCGAGGCCCTGGGTACACATGTACCTAAGAGGGGTCCAGGCCTGGGAATCGATATCTGAGCTCTCACTTCCTCCTTACTTGGCCATGTCGACGTGGCGCTGCACTGCGGGGCTTGACTCGACAAGTATAGACCCACATATGGGATACAGTAGGGTGCTACTTACCCCGAGAAGGGCGCTCATGAACAACCATAACACCTGAACAAATTCATGGTGCTTGAGTCCTTCTCAAGATTGGACTGAGTCGATAGTTCTATCCGATTCGAGGTGAACTTCGATGAGGTTCCAATGAGCTGTTATGACCCTATGTGAAATACTACCTGATGAGGGACCCCTCTGGGGGAAACTCCACTGAAATACTCTATCGCCAGAGTAACAGCATTGAGTAATAAAACGAGAATCATTATACCGAGGGACCTGAGGACCAACATCGCATTACGTTGTGATGTATAAGCAGCCGAGCATACACGATATACGAGGCCCGTCTGCCGCAGATGTCGCATGCCACTCCACCGAATAAACAGCCAATGCACTGTCCGAAAACGAGGAGGAACTGAGAGGAAGCGAAAATCAAAACGCTAAGTCATGTTGTATCCAATTCAGATCGATCCGATCGAATGCTCGAGATGACTGAGGCCCCACCTGGTAAAAGGCGCTGGTCACGACTTCCGACTTGTGACCACCAAAGACTGCGGGGTACGATAATGACTGAATAGCCGTAGAAAAGGCACTGGACGCTACGAGGGAGGTGACGAAGAAGCCACAATAGGCAAATATACGGCTGATGGAGTCACGCGGACTGATATGAGGTCTTGTATCCCCCCGAGAGTGGTCCACGATGGGTTCGGAAGACTCTTTGGCGGACCGACAAGGCACTAGAAGAGGCGTTGTTGGTTCAGCTGCCGCTGACATGAGAAAAAACTGGCTAACTCGACGAGGGGAGTAGCACATGATACCCATAGGTTATCGACACTCGCATAAGGGGACAAGACATGGTCCGAGAAAAGACCCGGGTTCGAACCCCGGTGCCGGCATTTTTCCGCATTAGCTTCCATCGACTCGCTTGTGCCCCTCATTGAAGTCTCGGCATGTTCCTTCTTGTAGTGTCTTCCTCTTGAGATTGTCCAATGCCTCATAAGGCGGTGAAATCTCAAAGTAAACTACCAGAAAAGGAGGTGGAGAAGTGGACTCCCTTTGACCATCCACACTACGTACAATTCAACGCCCCTGTCGATGCTTGGGGCGCTCGACTCCTCAACGATAGTGTCAAGCCTCATGTTGACTCTTTCAACCTATTCGTAATAACGGGGCTCACTCCCGAGGCAGTGGGAAGTGCATGGGCTGACTTTGTTGTTATTTTCAGACCAATGAGATCCTCGGGCTCCTTCCCGATGATATCTCCCCTGCCGAAATGACTTGGCATGATGGGACCACCGTCCGTTGCTGGTTATCTGACTTGTCCCTGCATCAGCCCATTCGTGGAGAGGACGTCCTAGACCCTCGCCTTCTACCCACTCACTGTCGCCAGGCCCACATTACGTATTCTGGGGAGCTCTCAGCGACAGTCAACGTATCGCTTGGCACGGGGGAGCCGCCGGTCCAAATGGCCCGGGTACCGCTGGGATTGGTCCCCATCATGGTCCGCTCTGAGGCATGTCATCTCCACGGTATGCCCCCCTCAAAGATGGTTCAATGCGGGGAAGACCCCGATGAGAGGGGCGGGTACTTCATCGTCAATGGCAATGAGAAGGTCATACGTCTGCTGATTATGCCCAAGAGCAACTTCCCTGTTGCCCTTTATAGACCCAGCTTCTCCAACCGAGGTACTAAGCATTAGGAACCATCACGGAGATAGGGTTCGTTGGAAATCGTTACGCTCGAATGCTTCGTATAGGTCCGCTTTACTCCGCCTACGCGGTCCAGATGAGGTCCATGAGACCCGACTTGACCACCCAGACGGTCACTATGCATTATAGGAAGGACGGAACTTGTTGGGTCAGTCTTTCCTCTGCCTTTTACGCTTCAACGAGGTATGCTTCTTTAGGTAAGATTCACCTACCTCAAGAACGAGTACCTTATCCCTTTGATGCTCTTGTTGAAGTGCCTGGCTCCTGACGAGCTCAACTCTGAACGAAGCCTCTTCGAGGTGATAACGTCAATTTGTTGTGTATGCGGGCATTAGTTCTCCTCAGCTCCTCTGTGACGGTCTGATGGCTGATACGTTCGTTGCCGAGCGTGTTACGTGTATGCTGGAGCAGATGAGGACCCACCCCGAGCTGAAGCATGTCCATTCTCGCGAGGATGCCCTCTACTATCTCGGCTCTAAGTTCGAGGTGGTTTTCCGAGAGAAGCGTGGGGCAGGGGTAGGTCCAGCCGTGGTACTGCTGGTCTTGACCCAATGCTCGATCAGGTATCGCTCGATGGAATTGCACTGGAAGTTGATGATGCCGCCATGAGCCCTGTTGAGAAGTCTGTGTCGGTGGCTCGACGTCTGTTGGATTCCCTCATGCTCGTTCATTGTCCTAAGGGGGCCGAGGGTGGCAAGGCTAAGGTACCAGTGTGGTGAATTTCGTGGCGCGTGACAAATTGTGCCGTCATCAGGTCGATTGCCTGGTGCTTATTTTCCGTAAGCTGATGGCTTTGGTCCGTGGCGACATTGCTCCTGATAACGCTGATGCTATGGATGTCCAAGAGCTCCTCCTCCCTGGTCAGCTCTTCGGGGCTCTCCTTAAGGAGGTCCTTCAGTCCTCTCTATTGAGATTGGAAGGAGCCTTGGCCAAGAAGTCGCGACAAGCCCAGGTTGGCAAGGGTCGAGCCCCTACTGTACTCTCAGCCGAACTCATCCGGAACACCTTCATGGGCGTTTGTGACGTTACTAAACGTATGGAGAGCTTCTTGGCCACCGGCAACATTACCTCGAGGAGTGGTCTTGATCTACAGCAGACCACAGGTTTCACTGTGGTCGCTGATAAGCTTAACGCCTACCGTTACCTGTCCCACTTTAGGGCTGTGCATAGAGGTTCCTTCTTCCAAGAGATGAAGACGACCTCTGTGCGTAAGCTGTTACCTGAGACCTGGGGATTCCTCTGCCCTGTGCACACCCCTGATGGTACTCCTTGTGGTCTGTTGAACCATCTTGCTGCCCCTTGCCAGCCCGTGGTAAGGATAGCCTCTCCGGAGGGCGTGATCCCGGGCCTTGAGGAAGAGTTGGCTTCCCTTGGGGTGCAGCTGGTCCGCAGTAGTAAGACCTCTACAGCTAACTATGGTGCTGGGGAGAATGCCTACGTCACTCTGGACGGCCGTGTGCTCGGTAAAGTTGCCAGGAGCCGTCTTGAGGCGGTAGCCGAGGAGCTGAGGAGGCTCAAGATCGATAAGGATTGCCCAGGGGTGCCTGCCGACCTTGAGATTGTGGCCTGCCAGACCCCGGCCTCCTTCGAGGGCCTCTGGCTCTTCACTGGCCCTTGTAGGATGGTCCGCCCCGTTCGGGACCTGGCCACTGGTAACGAGGAGCTTGTTGGTCCTATGGAGCAGGTCTTCCTCAAGATAGCCGCTACTAGGGAGGACTTGGAAGCATCCACTAAAACGTCTAGTGTCCCCGAGAACATCCCAATGAAGTACACTCATATCGAGCTGAGTCCTATTTCTATGTTATCGGTCATCGCTGGTCTCACCCCGTTCTCTAACCATAATCAGAGTCCTCGTAACATGTACCAGTGCCAGATGCTTAAACAGACTATGGCCATACCCTATCTCAACCATCCTTACCGCACTGATAACAAGGTACTTCAGCTCCTGTCATCAGAACCCCCTTGTATTGATCCTCTCAGGTCTATAAGATTACCTATCCTCAGTTCCCCATGGTCCGCACTACGGTCTTGAGCGAAGCGAACTTCGACGTCAAACCCGCTGGCACTAACGCTATTGTAGCTGTTATTGCTCACTCTGGTTTCGATATGGAGGATGCCCTTATCATCTCTAAGGGTAGTTATGATAGAGGCTTTAAGCATGGTTCTGTGTACAAGACTAAGGTCATCAACTGCCCCCCTAAGGGTACTGTGGGCTCCCGGCTAGCTCAGTTCCGGGCTGACAACCACAGCGTGAAGGGGGAGAAGGTCGTGAAGGATCTTGACTACGATGGTATACCGTATATCGGCCAACAAGTCCACGAGGGAGATCCCATCTGCCGTGTGCTCAACAAGGGTACTGGTGAAGCCAAGTTGGAGAAGTATAAGGAAGGAGAGGTCGCATGGGTAGAGCAAGTTAATATGATCGGCGGTGGTGGTTGGTGGGGTGGAGGAGCTGGTGCTAGAAATCCTGGAGGCATCAAGGACGGCTCTGAGAGGATGTCCATTAAGCTTAGACTGCCAAGGTAGGGTCAAGAGTCATGTCTTGTCGTCAATTACTCTCCTTTAGGAACCCTGTTGTGGGTGATAAGTTCTCGTCCCGACATGGTCAGAAGGGCGTTATGGCCATCTTGTGGCCGCAAGCTGATATGCCCTTCAGTGGTAATAAGTCTTATTATTCGCTAGCCCTTTTCACATTTTCCTACTTTCGAGGTACCTCTGGTATCTCACCCGACATTATGTTCAATCCTCATGGTATGCCCAGTCGAATGACCATCGGTAAAGCCGTCGGAGGATGGTCAACTCCCTTATTAGATTTCTACTATCAGGTATGCTTATAGAATTCATGGCGGGCAAGGCTGCTGCTCTTACTGGCATGCCTGTGGTCAACGCCAACAGTTTCCGCCAGTACCGTGGTAAGGGCCTCCTTGACACTGAGCATAACAACGAGAAGGATCCCTATGCTCCTGGTGATACCACAGCTCATGAGTACTTCGGAGAGACCTTGAAGAAGTAATAATAATGGTAGATGTATATTGCGAGATCGCACTCGTGTTTGGTCTTAGGTTCGGTTATGAATATCTTGGGGCGGAGGAGCTCTACTCTGGTATGCATGGAGAACCGTTGAAGACTCATATTTACATGGGCGTTGTGTATTATCAGAGATTGAGGCATATGGTAGTGTTCGGTGGGTACTCCTTAAGCTGAGTGTCACCGCTACTCCTTAGGTTCTCGATAAGTTCCAGGTCCGTGCTACGGGTCCCATCGACCCTCTCACGAGACAGCCCGTGAAGGGTCGTAAGAAGCATGGTGGTGTGCGGTTCGGCGAGATGGAACGTGATTCATTGATTTCTCATGGAACATCTGCCCTCCTCGCTGATCGTCTGCTCAAGTGCTCTGATGCTTGCGAGGACTGGGTGTGCCCCGAATGTGGATCCATCCTTTCCTATGCTCATTCACCTGAGACTGTTAAGCGATATAGCGGCAGAGAAGCAGCCGCCCAAGCGCCGATCTGCCGAGCTTGCTCAACGGAAAGAGTAGGTCCTCGACGAGTGTATTCCTTTGCCGTATACGTTATTCCCCTTTCAGGGAATTGAAGTCCGCTGCGCTGCCGTCACCCTCCCCTACGTATTCCGTTACATGTCCGCGGAGTTTGCTAGTATGAACATCCGCTTGAGACTTCGAGTCAAGGAAGATTACTAAGAGCCTTCGGGTGTGCAGCAGATTGCTACCATCAGTACCATAATACGTCCGTTATGCGCACTGAAACGTCGAGTCACGATATTCCTATTGTTTTCATCACGGAAACCAAACTTATGCCATCGCGATATCTCCTTGGTCTTACCAGTATCTCCATCGGGACATTTCGTTACTGTAATACAACGACTGGTTTCTGTGACTTTCCTTGCGGTGTTGTGTCGGTAGTCAGCCAAGGAATGTAAATTCATTATGAGGATTATCACCTGTGTATTGCCCAACGCAGAATAAGGATCTGTCGATGCATTTTGGAAGAAGTCGTTAATGGACAAGATAAGTAGTATTCCAATCAGGGTCTTGGCCTGGCTATATGGGAAGGCGCTCCTAACTCGTATTCTAAGAGGCACTGATTGAACTCGAGACAATAGTACATACTTCACTCTTACGTAAATTATAACCACTGTTAAGCAGAAAGTTGTTTTAGCCAACTGAGACCAGCTAAGATCGGTCGTCCTCGTCGGGCCCGGACATGGGCCCTCGGCCCGACCTAGCCGGAGACCGGTATGTCCAACTCCCTTCATGCTCTCGATGACGAACTACACCCAGATATCATTGCAATGTATCGTTTTGCCAGGAGCCTCTTAATAACCGTTCGCCAAGCAAGTTTTGCTAATTGTTCCTCCTTAGAGCGCTCGGCAACTTTCCTATCACGATTCTCCTCCTCCATAGCCTTCCTCAGTGTAGTAGCATCAGAAATGGCGACAACCTGAGGAAGGGAAATCAGCGGAATAAATGAGTAAAGATACGAGTCCACACGCTAACCAGTAGTACCACGCCGCCTATCTGAGGCCTTTGGGCCATCCACCCGACATGGGCCGGAGCCCAATGCTCGATCCCAAGCTCCTTACACTTCCGTACGAGTCGTCGTAGGTTGTCCCCCTCTACACATTCTGAGCCCTCAGGAGGCTCACGACCATCCGTCAGATCAACAAAACCAAACCTATTCACTGGTATTTCACCGTCAAGACCAACGCTTCTTTTCGGAGCTTCAACAGTCTGATCCGCCGAGTACAGCCTCACAGGCTTCCCTTTGATGCTGATGACACGTCTACAATCCTCCGTCCCTTCCTTCACGACCATTCCCCGCCTCTCCCACTGGGACTCTGACTTCAAACGTAGAATGTCTTTTCGGAGATAGAATGGATCCTTGCCAGAGAACAGTCCGACAGGCCGTGCTGTATCGGTTAGGATATCAAACTTCGTGAGCTGAGACTCCAGTATATACGTAGCGCTGTTCCTGAATCCTTCGACGCTCCTCGGGAGTTTCCCATCGTCTTGGCCAGGCGGGATCCCCAGCCAATTTAAAATCTTCATCCGTTTCGCACTACCGTATTTGCCACTAGCATCAAAGTAGTCTCCATCCTTTTTCTTCCCTACGACCACCCCTAAAGACCGCGACCTCCCCGGAGGAAAGCCAACCGCCTGTGGGCCTAACTCAAGCCAGGGCAATGGATACCCGGTCGCCATGAATACCGTCGCCTCCTCCTCAAGGAGCACTGAAGTAGCCACCAGCGCCCCGACGTACGTCGACACCCCCATATCACTGAGCGACAGCTCGTCCCTTATTGAATCGGCACTGGGCAAGGGATCGAGTGTAAGGTCAAGCCCAGAAGGGTCAGATGCCAACCAGTAAGGAGGCCAGGGAACCATCATGGACAGGTCAGCCCGCGTCACGCCCGAATCAGACATCCGTTCTTCAGCTGCCCTCTTAATAGACTCGCATTCGAAACACAGTCGAGCAAGATTCTCCAAAGAGTTGAACCACACCATCACTTCCTTCCGGGAAACTTGTCTTATAACCTTCCTCCTCTTTCGTGGGCGTCCCACCTCCTGCTCCTGCTGTTGCCGCTCAGGGGGTAAAAGAGCCCCGGCGGGCGCGTCATCATCAGATGGCGAAGCCCAGTCGACATCAGCATACTCCGACCCGTCAGAGCTGCCATCCTCAGAGGTTGTGGAGGAATCTATCATGAACCCTAGCAATCAGGAAACACTCGTTTGGCAAGCTGAAGTGTCCTTACCGGAGCAGTGCAGAGGGATTCGTTCGCTTTCCTCAACTGCGGTCATTAGTTATAGACGTTTACATACGAATTCGTGCAGAAGTATATAGAAACCAATGAAAATTCCCAAAATTTTCTCAGAATTTTTAAATTTTCACCAGGACACATAGTTGACAATGTGCATATTTTCCCATACTGGATCGAAGTAGGCCAAGTGGACGGTCCCGAATACTCATGCAATATTGACACTCCTCACTGTCGTAATAGACCTCAACTCAAGGCGATAGCGGACCATGTTGGATAAGCGCGTCTACTCTGAAACTCTGATACTTTGATAAACTTGCTGCTTGCATGCTCATAATTCATATTCTTCCGTGAGGACGACACCGCCTCTTGTATAGGCTTCTGAATAGGAACCATCACTACGTCAATCCAATACGGCAGAGCGAACGCCTCAGTAACAATATGATGTGAAGACGGGACGCTGCCGTTATCAAGGATCCTCCTCAGGGCCTCCACGCAGCTGACGTGGTCTCCAGTGGAGGCCAATCGAGCAAAAGACGATGACTGAAAAACCGAAATTTCAACGATACCTGGCAACTAGACCCACCGAAGTTTCAAGCGCTGGTAACTCGATCACCTCCAACACTCGATCGATCGCTCTCAGCGTCACCAAGGTAGACTCCTCCATAGGCCACATCCCGAGAAGACCGGTGATAATCTGATATTTGCATGCCTCACTGATGTCCTTGGAAAATTCCGTCCTCGCCAATATCCCCACAGCGATCCGAAACAGATGAGCAGATCTCGCCAGAGCAGCCGTGAGTATCGCCATAGTGAGCGCCGGAGTCGAGATATCCCGATTCGAACCGAGCCAATGGGACGGTGAGGTCGCCGGCAAGAGGTCAAGTTTAGCAGCAGCAAGGTAGACCTTGGCTATGTTGTCTGGCTCTTTACCATCCTTCACAATCTCTGACAACAGCTTAGACATGGTGAACTGGACCTCAACATTCTCTGGACTCAACAGTGCCTTGGCAATAGAGTTGGCGATCAGGGCTGCCCAGTCGGGACGCAATCGAGCACTGCATGATGCAGGAGCCAACAACGTGGACGCTCGACGGGTCAAACTGGGCATGACGTGGGCTAGTTCTGAGACCTCTATAGAGCCTCTCGAGCGAACAAAGGCGGCCATTATCATGGCCAAGTCCCTCAAAGCTAGGCGGGAAACATACCCGTCACGCGCCACGAAACTACTAACCTTTCCGAACGCTTCTTGCCAAGTTTTCCTATCGCTATTGGAACCAAAGACCTCCAACAAGTTGTACATTTCGCTCGTCTTAACTTCGGATAAAACACCTTCACCTCCCTCCGAACGTACCAAGACCGCCGCTGCAAAGTCCACGTATTCCTCAACAACTCCGCGATGGAGTTTTCCCTTTATCACCCACATGGACTGTGACAGCAACGGGGGGAACTGCTGGTAGACAGTCGTGCCTTGCTCGATTTGCCAGCGCAATAACTCCTCCAAAAACCCATCAGAATAAACTCCGAAAGAAACCATAGCACCCGACATGTCCAAAGCACTCAGATTTCGCCGAGCCCTAAGGAGTTCGAAGGCCTCCTCCATGACCTGTATCGGTATGGCCCTCTTCTGTGCAGTAGTGAGACCAGTGAAGCATTGGAGGACATCTCGAATCGGCGTGGGCCCTGCCCGGTCACTCCTTACGAGCCGTTCCAACTTAGCAGCACCCAAAGGCGTCGCGGAGGGCCTCCCAGGTCCACGGCATAATCTCTGCATCACAAAAAGAAGATCTGTGGAAGGCAACATGACAAGGACCAGACCCACGAGCTCTCCTCCAATGAACCAAACACGGCCAAGTGAAAGTCTTTAACATTATTTCAAATGTCGCGACCGGACATTGCGACCCCCCTCATAGGGCAGTCCTCCAAGGCTCAGTCAATACACAGCAAAGAGTGGATGGACCAGCTGCGAGGGGCGAGTCTACGGCTTGTCACCGGCACCAGCAGCAGGACCAGCAAATGGATTGCTCTTTACTTCATGCGTCCCTTGTTCCCAAGGTTGCTTCCTGCCCGACCCGAAAGCCGGCGACTCGGGGCGTCTCGGCTGAGGCGGGGTATAGGAAACCGCTTGACTGTTACCACTGAGTTCTGGACTCCCCGTAGCATCTCGGACTGAACAGGAAAGGACTGCGATGATCAACCACGACATAGTTTACCTGGGACACTGCCAGTCTGTTGCCTTGAGGAGCCGTCCTCCAAGGCTTCCTCGTGCACCAGGGGCCTTTGCATAGACGATGCAGGGCCAGCGTGATGGTACTCCTCCTGCTCGTTAGATCGATCATTGCGAAGTCGATGGAGGTTACTGCCCGTGAAGAAAGCCAGAGACTGGACCAAGTAGAGGACAGCAATGACGAAACCGAGCTGGCATAAGAGATGTTACGGCTTCTCCTCCATTTACTCACATAGACTTACTATTCCAAGCCACATAGCTATCGATTCGAAAGTCGCCGAGTAGCGATGACCACCAATAACGTAACCCGCAATGACCACATACCTACGCATACGACGAGAGGCTGAGCATCATCTAGGCTTGCGAGGTTGGCCTACAGACACAGTCTGAGGGAGTCATGCTTGAACTGAGGCCACGCTGACAGCCCTTCACGCGACTTGAAGGTACGCAGGGTCCTACAGGAACAATGACAACAAGCGATCAGTGTTGGAATATACGTTGGCTTTAGTAAGCCGAGCTCAAGGGCGTTGTCACTAATTATAGGAGTTTATATACGAATTCGGATAAAGGAATGTACAGAAACCAAATGGAAATTTCCCGAAATTTTCATATTGTCACCGACACATGGAGCTGACCACGTTCATATTTCCCCCCACACTACAACCCTTCCGACTCACTCATAGACGCTGTAGACTCCCAAGGCCAACAGGAAGATCCCTTCGCACGTGTTGTGGATCTTTACCAGAAGACCAGCATCCTCTGGTGTTGTCTCTCGACCCGTCTTGGGGTAAACCAAGTAAATGCCGAGGACCGTGACGCCCACCCAGAACACTACCCCTAGAACACGGGACGTGAGACTCAGCTTCGCCATGGGCCCTTCCCTCGGGGACTCTTGCATTGATGACATTTTATTATAAAAGATCGACAGAAAATCTGTTGCTTCCACTAATGATCTACTGTACCACTACAACGCAAGTCCAGGGAAGACTCACAGGAAATTGTCACAGCAATAGTCGAGCCAAGGACGAGGAGAGAGTCCGCACAATATCAATATTAACATAACATAGTATTTCGACCGCTTACTGCTGCTGCTGCTGGTCACAGTTCATCATCAGCACGGCCAGAGTGTTTACCACTAGACTCGGCAGAATGTTCCTCGAGCTTTCCAATAGGCTCAAAACCCATGTCCTGAACCAAGCTGGCCGTGTGGACCTGCCGAAAGGTCTCAGTGGCGTCTCTACCACAACTATCCTCTATAGCAGGAGGCCCACCAGGATGCTCACTAGAGTAGTCGCTAAAGTCATAGACCAAACCGTACAAGGAAATCCAGCAATCACTCGGAGAGCCGTGTTCAGCGAGCTCTAGTGAAGTGATGGTCCCTAGAGACGCTTGTCGGCCATCCAACTGTTGTGGTCGGGGGTTGGTCGTAGTAAAAGGTTCACCCTCAATGGGCACACGGTCACCAATCCTCTTGCCAAAGACGGCACATTCCAGCAGAGAGTTTCCACCTAGACGATTACGTCCATGTACGCCACCAGACACCTCCCCAGCGGCCCAAAGACCATTAATGACGGCACCGTTGGTGTCAAGGACATGCCCATTGGTGTCGATGCTGATGCCCCCCATGGTGTAGTGGATAACAGGTGTGACCTTTCCGACAAAGTAATGACGACCATTCGAGGGGGCCTGCACAGAGTCCTTCCAAGAGTCACCACCTACAAACTTCACCGCGCCACGAAAGTCCACTTCCCGCAACAGGCCTCGAGATTTGTACATCGTAATGTGTCGCTCCGCCGGCCCATGGACCGCATCATACGGTATTAGGAGGCTGAAGGCCCTCGCTGAGCCGCCCGTCTCAGCCGCCCTCTCCAGCATCTTCGCCGTAACATACTTCCGTGTGCCGAGCTCATCACAAAAACGCTGACCATGTTGGTCCAGCAGGACTCCACCGACACCTCTGAGGATCTCAGCTGCGAGCACCTTGGTCCTGGCATCGGGGTGCTTGGGATCGATGAACCCTGTAGGGTGCAGTTGGACCTGCTCCATGTCCCTGAGACCAACACCAGCGTCCCGTACAGCTATCTTGATGCCATCGCCTGTAGTGTGAGGACCAAGAGTCGTAGGGAAGTCCAACAGGTCCGGCCTATACTGGGCCATCAGGGAGTCGGCAGACACATCAAAACCAAAACCACCAGTTGCCAAAACAACAGAGTCACCGAGGGACTCTACCTCTTCCTCGTTGATCCCGACGGTGTACGTGACGCCTCTAACGACCCTACGGTCTACTATAAGACCAGTAAGCTGAGCACTGTTAACGACAACTATGTTCGACAGGCTATGGGCAACTTTCGAACCAGCAGCTGTCAACTCCGCGCCAATGATGCCCCCTTGGGGCCGCACCGTCCGTGCCCTAGAGTGACCTCCCAGTCTTACTGGGGTCGACAGAGGAACGCCAAACCGCTCCTGGACCCACTTCACCGTGTCCAGCGAGTCATTTACCAATACGTTGGCAAGCTCTGGATGACCACATGGGCCAAGGCCACTCTCACAACTCTGCAGCGTATCGTTGAGGAAGGCCTCATAGCACTCCTCCGTGGTATCCATCCTCACATTGATCCCGCTCGAGGCCTTAGCACTATTGCCACCCAAGTGCTTGGACTTGTCCAGGAGTAAAACTCGAGCACCACGATCGGCCGAGGCTATAGCAGCGCTCATACCAGCAAGGCCACCACCCACAACAACAACGTCGTATTTCCGACTCGTGGTCTTTCCAGTAGTGACCTTGGACCTGATGTACCTCAGGGCATGACGACAGAAGGCCTCAGCGGGGAAGGTGGCCGCTAGTGATAGCACTGCTTTATCCTCATCGACAATAGCGTCCACGAGCAGGTCTTCGTCACGTTGGTTGAGGTGGAGCTCAGCGACGTGCGACAAAGCAAGTTCCATCACAGAAGCGCCAGAATTGCTGAAAGCCGCCGCTGGCCGTGACACGCGTGTCACCAGCTTTCTCTGGTCCTCGAGGTACAGGTTTGTGAGTCGACCCACCTCCATCAGGCCATGGGAAAACTTATGCACAGTGTTCACCAGAGCGACGACTTCATCTCGAGAGAGGGCCGAGGGCAGCAGAGACACGTCCGGGGTGAGCAGGACCTTCAAGGCTGTACCCAAGCCCAGCAGAGTGACCTTCGAGTGTAGGCGACAACGACGGCATCGGACACAGTTGGTCAAAGCAGTGATATTCTGGAAGACCGACTTGAACTGCTCCGCTAGCTGGCGTCTATCCGCCCTGTCCACTGGGAAGAGACTGTCCTCATCGAAGCCTTGGAAAACAGGCGTGCAGAGCTTCATCTCAGAGGCGTCCAGCAGATGTTTCATCAGCATTTGAGTATTCTCGTCATCGACCGGTTCACCAGTGGAGTACTCCCAGTTGTAGAGGACAGGTTTGGCCTTGTGCAGGGCCCTCAAGGTGACCAAATAAGCAAAGTTGAGGTTCTTCAGCCACTCTGGATGCTTGCCCACTGTAGCCATAAACTTCTCATTATTCGGCTTCCACGCAACTTCCCCCTTTTTGGGTGGATAGTAGTTGGCCAAGACCTGTATAGTGACCGCCTCGTGCATGCCCGAGAGCAGTCGTTGCAGTACACGCTCCTCATAACAGTAGCCATCAGTGCCTAAGCCCCGACCTATGCTCACACAGTTCTCGGCATCAATGGCCTCCCATATGTGAGAACCATTATAACCAGTATTGTGCTCGGGGTTCAGCAGTAAGTTAACGTAGTCAAGCTTGTCGCTGGCCCTAGGGGGACGACAAATATCGAACCAGAAGTCCGGCTTGATACTCTCGTCATCATCTAGGTCATCCAAGTCGTCCTCGAATTCGTCCTCGATCACATTGGACTCAGATTCACTGATAAAGGGGTTAACCTCATTGCCGCTGGGTTCAATACTACACAGTGAAGGACCACCAGAAGCTGCAGGGCTCAACGAGGTGTCAAACCCGAAAGCAGCTCCAGCGCCACCCGGAGGGGTCGACCCACACATAACTTCGTCTTTGTTGGCGTCTCCCCAAGTGAAGGCGCAGTCTTCATCCATAGCTACCCGGACCAAACGGAAGTACGTAGTGTTAGCCAACTCCTCGAGTATGGAATGGAGCTGTGCCGAGTTGGCCCGCTGAACTGCCTCAACCTCACACTTGGTACCGTCAACCTGACCTCCCACCAGCGACGCCGGCCGACCCGAGGGGGTATCAAAAACATCAGCACCCATAACAGCCCCAACGAGAAGCATTGCCATGAGCGCCACTAGCGATCGCTTGGTGAGGGAAAAACATGACCCTCGACAAGCTGATATTGACATGTTGAGAATTAACACTAAAGTGATACTGAGAATAACGTCAAAGTCGACGATACACTGAAGCGAAGTCTGCCATGGGGAAAGGAGACACTCTTTGTGTCAGACTACTCCGCCCCATAGGATCGGATGATGACCATGGAAGAGGCCCCTCTGAGTACAAGCAACTCGTCGTCTTACTATCACGAAACGGTTCATACTACAACGAATAACATTCTCTCCTGGCAAATATTGAGTATCAGTTTTTTTTCAGCCTTCGTACCGTCTCTCGCACAACTTTCACTGCAAGTGGAGCTGCCAGAAACACACTGCTTGCCACAGCAACAGCCGTGTTATCCCCCGGCACGGAGAACTCCAACGGAATAGTAAAGGCAGCGCCGCCTCGAGTAAAGCGGAACTTCAATACAGCCGAGTCGAAGTTGGGCCATCGGAGCATCAGCGACCACTGGATAAGCGTCGGAAAGACCCCATCGAGCTCCTCCCAGTCAGTCAAACTCTCCGCCCCGTTCAGCCGCTGAGAGCACCTGAGCTCAATACCTGCACCAGCTGACAGAGACATTGTGGGACCACAGGAGACCTCAAAGCCGCCACTGAAGGGGAGTACGGTCTTGGCCTCCATGGCGATGTTGCCCTCTCCCTCAATAGTAAAAGTATACTTCATAGTGCAGCGATCCCAAACCCTTATCCTGGCAAGGTCCTCATCACTCCCCACTTCCGAGTTGGTTTTCTCAACCTCGAATGCCGCGTGATTGCCATTGCCAACAGCCAGTGTGACACTGCCAGCCCAGTCCTTGAAAAGCTGCAGGCCCCAGGTCATGGCCGCGCCCACACCACCCGTCTGTGTCCAAGAGACCGTCTGCCTCACAGTAGAATGTTGACCAACTTGCCGAGTAATGACCGCTTCCACGGCCGGTGGCCACCACTGCCCCGCTACAGTGTCAACCATCACACGGCTCTGCATGTAGGGGGTCCACCCCGTCTGCCAAAAATACGTCATTTTCCCAACTCCTCCTCCATTGGCTTGGACATTGCTCGCAGTGACCACTGTGAAGTTGTGCCTTCCCATAGTGATGCCCATACCATGAGTAAAACTCGTATACACCCACCGTGGGGCCTCCTGCCAGTCCCTGAACTTGAGGCCAGTAGTCATATCACCTTGCAGGTTGAACATCCTATGAACCTTCATTTCCTCATTACCCCTCATCATGGCCCTTACTCGTCGCTCAAGATTAGCCAAAGTCTCATCCTGCTTGACCACAACACCATCAGCCATGCTGATGCCATCCACCCCGTACTTATCATAAAAGGACCTCATTGTCGGATTGGACAGAACCCGATAGGCGTAGTTGATCCTTCTGAACGCCTCCGGATCCCCACCCTGCGACGCTCTCTTGTCGGGATGGTGCAATTTGCTCTGATTCAAATATCCCTGTCGAATAGCGTCAGCGTCGCTATCGTGAGTAACGTGTAGTAGGTCGTATAGGTCCATGTCCGGGACGCCGGTGGTCTCACCCATGCTGCTGGAGCTGTCCCCATTCGCGTACTGAGAAGGAGGCATTACAGTAATGAGAAATCCTTAGTGAAGACCACACGAAGGTAGCTTAGATGGACCAAGGATAGAAAAAACTAAGAAAATCATCGCATGCCGGACTCGAACTCGGGGCCTTTCGGTTGTCGGAAACATCCTTATTTCACAAACACTGCCTGGAGCGTCTCCTCCCCACAACATGGTTCGTTATCGACATGCCGGACCTTCACACGCTCAGCCTCCGACCGAAACCTATCCCTCAGTTTCTCACTCACGTCCTCGTTCTGTGGAAGCTCCCTTGGGAACCGCGAGAAGCGCACTCCTCCACCCACGAAGAAAGGTGCCTCCCTCCACCATTCTAGTACTGCATCGGGATAGACCAACAGGTCAATCGGTATACCGCATAGTCCAGAGTCTACTCTGCGTGCTATAGTCACCGCATGCTGGCAGTCAGACTTGCCACGGTCGAAACTCTCCACACTAGAGGAAGCCTCTTCGAGCTCATCTGAGCAACCTGGACCATCAGGCCTCGCACAACCTACTCGTTTCTGTAGGATTAATCGTGACTTACTCCGCGTTCGAAGCCGATGCCGATTCCTCACCGTCGCCGAGATGGACTCTTTAAAAGGGAGGCATGCATCTACACTGACTACCCTGTTAAGGACCGTGTAGACTTCCGTTCGACACCCACTGCTAGACCTCGGCCAGAAGGACGATGAGTCACCTCTCGCGCTGTAACATTCGGCCACATTACTCAGCACCTCCATGACCCGTATGGGCAACCGAATCGCATCACGCGCCACAAAATTGCAACAAACAGTCATCCTGATCATCGCGGCCAGCAGAGGTAGAGACAGAGGTAGCTCAACGTCCTCAGGGAGGTCCTCTAGCCGCGACACAAGGACCTCCAACCCAGTAGAGATGAGACCATACAATCCCCTCGCCTCCCCTTCATCAAGGGCGACGACAGATAGGTCTAAATACTGCCATAACGCTACAAGGAGCTGAGCCATGCCCTCCGCTGACAGCACATCCCATCGGAAGCCCTCAAGCAGGACCCCCAGAGGGTCAACCCGAATATCAAGAGCGAAGCATGCATGCAAGAGCAACGCTTTCGTTACCGACGACACCCCTTCTGGAACAACCAAATCCATCCAGTGCGGGCAGAAGCTCTTGAGCCTTAACCGTGCCATCGACTCGAGTACACCTGCCCACAGGGACCACTCTCTGGGACTCCCCTTTGGAACGATGATTGACGTCTTCTCATCGATGCCCCAACGCGCCAGCACAGCCATTGCAGAGTCAATTCGGCCTATTCGGGCACAGACACCAAGGGCTACAGCGAGGGAAGCCAGATCACCCGATTGGACCCCTCTCGACAACGCACTCGTCCAGTCAAAGGCCCCAATTGTAGGGCGGAGCGATGCAATCTCATTAGACTGACCCATGGTGCCCTCGGAGGCATCTTCAGTGAAGTAGAAGGAAAGGTAATGGAGATACCTCAATAGCGTTGGACGATCCGATGAGGCCGGCAACACCCCTGACATCTCCAGGCTGAGCGCATCCCTACGATGGGGCTGACCTGCACTCAGGAAATTCACCACTCGAAACCCTCAGCCTTTCTACCCGTGTGCATCGTCTCCAGCAGAGTCATCACACTATGCCCGTTGACCACCTCCTCGCCTCTGACCGCCAACTGGTTTCGCAGCCATGGTCGAAAGCCGCTAGGGAAGAGGGCACCATGCCCAGCTCTGTTAGCGTCCCTCCATACCTCTACCAGGGACATGATGTCATCACAACTCACATCTAGCTTCGAGAAAAGTATGGTTCGTCCCACGAGGGCTTGTACCGCATTTATCACAGTGGCGTCTCGGAGGTCCGCACAGCGAAGAAATACGGCGAGAATCTTTAGAGTATCTTGAGGTCGCAAACTTGCATGCAACGTAAAAGATATCCTCTGCGCTGCGTTACTAACGAGCTTCTCGCTGAGCCACCCCAGGCCCTCTAGAGAGACCAACAGCTGCGCCAAATTCTGCCCCGAGACCTCCGGCCAATGACAGGACAATCGCCACTCTAGTATCTTATCCAGACCATCTGGCAGCTTCCGAGAGGGGTCACAAGCGGCGTAGTCAGCCAGGAAAGCTACCACTTGAACCAACGGCAGAGGACCAAATCTACGCCCTTCATCACTGATGTCCGCTACAGCATCCATCACAACATTCGTGAACTGCTTCGACTCCAACCCCAAGGTCCTAGCCGCCTCACATACATAGCCAATACTCGCGCCGTCCGTGGTCGGGCCGATGGCCTCAGCGACTGACTCCACCCCTCGAGTGATATCCGCGAGCACAGCCGCACGGTACCGTACGGGGACATGGGCATTCCAGTCCACCCCTGAGCGACTCACTGCCAGCCCGCATACTCCTGCCGCTGTCCTCAGCCAGTGAGGGTCATCTCGCTCGTGCCACACCAGCTTCATAAGGATAGCTCGACACAGGGGAGCCGCCGTAACCGGACTGGGCCCTCGGGGACCACGAGACCGCGCAATGTGGAGGAGGAGATTATGAGCTCCACTGGCGGGAAGCCTCTGCAGCCTCCTCATGGCTTTGCTGATCAAGGCCGGCCAGATGGCGAATCTATGTAGCGCGTTTGGAGGTGCTTTATGGACAGTTAAACTCTGTCGGGGAGGAATGGCCAGCGCAGCATGACGAAATGATGAGACAAGGTCCTAAGGTAGGACCAGAACATTATAACGACTACCGGTGTACCGAATTACTTGATTTTTCCTAGCAGTAGATGCACATACCCTCACGTTCTTGCCTGCCACCCGATTCACCTTAACATGAGCCCTGGTTACCGCGGCGACTGCACGACATCGTGAGGGGCTGCCCATGGTCGAGACCAATGAACTCCCATTGCGGCCAATAGGCCCAACAAACCCTCCTGAACGCAACATACTATTACATAGGAAAAAACTAATATGTCATGAAGAGAAGTCAAAGGCAATGCCATGCAGAGTATCCCATCACGCTTGATAGCACCGTGACCACGGGAAGACTTCAGCACTGGCAAATACCACCGACTCAACTATTTGCTCTATAATACTAGCATATCTACTCAAAAAACTACTCTCCCTACTCTTCTTCCGAGGCTTCAGCCGACGCCGCCATGCTCTTGGGCCTATAGTAGACCTTAGCCGGCAAGTTGCCAAGCATTCTCTGACGATCAGTCTCGACCCATCTCCAGCTCAGCCCATGCCCAGCAATACGGCCGCATATAGCCCCAAAGTAGGCACAGAAGGGGAGCACGATGAGCTTGCTTTGGTAGTTGTATCTCCTGAGACTCCACCAGGGTAGACTGACACCCAATAGAAGTCCTGGTAGCAGGCCGTTCTGGGCGATAACTCTGCGACGGACACTTTCCTGCCTCCTACGGCAGATGTCTATAGCCGGATCGCTGGCCGAGGGATCGAACTTGCGCCTGAGGATGTTGTACATGTCATGCTTGTCGAGCTTAGAGTAGCGCCAATGGAAAACTGGGAACATGAGGGCTAGTCCAGTCTTCTCCAGCAGACGTATACGCCTTTTGGCTATCTTGTTCTTCTCCTCAATGATGGTGATGTCGGAGGGGACGAGGAGGAGGTTACTCATGTTAGAGGTGATAAACGCCCTACGCTGAGAAACAGGACGGCACAAGCAAAGGGAGCGGACGCTATGGGCCTCAAGGGGGACTCCCATGAATTCATGACGAGATTGTCGAATCTTGAAGATCTCACTAAATCTTGGCACTTCTCAACAGATTTTCCGATCGCGTGAAGCAGTTATGTAAGTGTACCGACTGTCCTTCTGCTCAGCCATTCTCGCACTCGCATGAGATGCATCGTTCACTGAAATACCCCATACTCCTCCTGGTTCCTAAGGTCGTCGTATTGTCAGAGGACCTTTTTGATGATGGCACCATTTGGTGACACGATATCTGTAGCTCCTCGGAACTGGAAGAACGGTAAGACGAGGTGTTGTCGGCGTCTGAGGGCGGAGCATGAGAGAGGAGGTTGATAAGGTCTGGAGAGGCAGCCGAGCCGCTGTAAGGAGTAGGGCATGCTGCAGATGGGAGGTCAGGCACCGTCGCTGCCACCTGACGAGGATATCAAGGCATGCCGTGCGAGTGGTAGTCGACAACAGCTACCGTTCGGCTACCTAAGCTGAACTGAACAGCTACTGAGGCAATGGGAGACTAACAGCCCTCTTGAGGGGGAAGGGGATCTGCTGGAGGCTGAAGATCTGAATAGCTACTATACACTCCCTGGAAAGAAGGGCGGCCAGAGTGGTGGTGCGTCCAACATCGCGGAATGGTAGACTTTGTGGCAAACTCTCTAGCGGCTAAAAGACTTTATTATGCCTGCCAGCAATATCCGTAGGGCGTTGGTGAGTCCGTGGAAGGGCAACTGGTGCTCAGCGGGGGCACCTAGCCAATCATCCGACATAAACGGGTCTCGGAAAAACCATGCTAACTGTGTCACTTCTGCCTTGTCATCATCAACGTATTGTGTTAGGATGTGTCAGTTGCAATGTACAATAAGGGGCCTGCCTGTACTATCTAAGTCGTGTTCATATCGTGGCTAACTGACGATTGATAATCCCTGCAGAATAAACTCAGATTTCCTGTATAATGGTTAGAGGCAGTTTCCCTAAGCTCACTGCAGCACAGATAGTGGAGGTGCTCAAGGACGACTTCGCTGTCATAGTACCGCCTAAGCTCAAGGTACTAGTAGTAGAGTCTGTTTTAGCCTATGCTATATACAGCTGTTACCTTAGGCATGCATCCTAGCCCTACAACCAGAGGACCTCAGTGCATGTCCTGCGGAGATCCTACGCATTACCTATGATGCCCTTCTCGTGGGTGCATTAGATCTCACGGAAGATGAACTCAAGTAGAAGAGGAGCGTTAGGCCTCATGTGCCGATGCTTCTCTCTCAGTGTACCAGCCGAGTTCTTGGGGCAGAGAGCGGCTCATGAGAGTACCACCCCTATTATGCTCATGTCCCGTCAAGTGAAATGGACTTATACTTACCTCCTTAGGGCTTCAGAACATGTAGGAAACAGTCTGGCAAAGGGCCGCAGTTGAGCTTTTCAGATTCGCTCTGTGTGCCCTCCGGTCGCCATATGTTCTGTGGTGTCCCCTTATGAGGACACCAAGCGTACGAGGATGCTCGTATCGGCATTGATCAACTATATAAGGTGGGTTAACCCTTCCCTTGGCCGATCATGGGAACTTGTGAAATTCAACAGGTACAAGTACATAGTTTTGGCCCAGCCCAAGATCAGTAGTATAGAGCAGATGAGAGCTGATGAGGAGGATGCGTTGGTAGAAGTCCAGGAGAAGGTTGAGCATAGCAAACGTGCCCTACAGGATGTATGCGAGAAGCGAGGCGGTTGTGGGTGTATGCTGTAGGGTAGGTCAAGGCCACACGCGAGAGGCTGAAGCCGAGCTTGACGAAGGCGAAGCATGATAGACATGTACTTGATGAGGAACTATGTGAGTCGGTGTTGGAGTAGGTGTTCGATTTTGGTAACCGAACTCAGGAGTTCCTCTACTCATCATAGGGGTGTATATACGAATTCGGGTAGATATGTACAGAAACCAACAAGAATTCCTGAAAATTTCCATATTGTCGCGCACATGTAGTTAACCATGTGCATATTTTCTCATCCTGATATGAGTTCCGATACCCTGGGGAGGTTGGTCTTGAGGGGTTTAGGTGCGCTCGGAAAGGCTAAGGATGCTCTTGTTACGTCCATTGAGGAGCACGAGAGAGTGAAGGAAGAGCTGACTGTGGGGTCTAGTGAGAGAAGGCAGGTTATTGAGGAGAAGAAGGAGGAGTTGCAGCATGTACGGCTAGGACCCTAGTAGAAATCTAAGCTGGGGTTTGCCGCTAGGTGGCAGACTTAGTGGTAGAGAATCCAGAGAGGGTTTTGGAGAAGCATAAGAAGTCCGAAGAAAGGGAGGCCGCGCTACGAAGGACGTTGGACGAGAAGCAGGCGTAGGTTGTGGTTGGGCGTGGTCGTCGTCGTCGTCACTGCTTGGTTACAGGAAGCTGTCCATGGCTAGAGAGAAGACGAGTGATTGGAGGGAGACCAATGGGAGGTTTGAGGGATTGATGAAGAAGGCTCGAGGAATCAAGGCAGATAAGGAGAAAATGGAGAAGGTAGGATGGGAGGAGGCCGTGGGTTCGATTCCCGGCTGGTGCATTATTCTCGCTGGTCTTGATGATGCTCGACAGACCTTGCAAACGCTGGAGGACAGGAAGGCGAACGACGCTGATATATCGGCTGTGATGAGGGAGGCCGGGAAACTGAAAGAGGAGGCGGGTCACAGAAGTGAGCGGACGGACCAGATTCAGGGACAGTGTGGGACAATGTGCACATGGTCAACTACATGTGTGCGTGACGACAGAACGAAAATTTTGAGGAAATTTTGAGAGACTATCATTGGTTTTTGTACATTTCTATTCGAATTCATATGTAAACTTCTGGAGTAAGTGAGGGAAGTTCAGAGCTCGGCTGAGGGAACCGAACACTGTTTGAGGAGATGGTCTTCCTCGCAGTTTCGAAGCTGAATGCCCATCGGCAGGCCTTCTCGGCTAAGGAAGCAGAGCCGAATCCTCAGCATGAAGCACGCATGAGGGAGTGGGTGAATTCAAGTCAACCCGTGTGAAAGGGGAGGTTTGTGAATTTAGTTTGCGATCAAGAGTGGCGGAGCAGGAGAAGAAACTCGCGAGGGAAGCTCAGGCGTGGAAGGCAGAGTTGGAGGAACTGAATGATAAATTGAGAACAGCTGAAGAGCAACGGAGGATGGGCGAGAAGCGGGCAAAGCACGATAGGGTGTAATATTTAAGTTAATGCACGACCATGATTAGATTAGTTTTCTCTCATGTTTTCAGTGCCAGAGCAAAGCTGGTGGAGATAGGGAAGAGGTTCATCGCAGAGTTCACGGCATCGCTGCCGACAGGGCGACCGACGTTATGTGCCTAGTAGCTGAGAACGCCTACCTAACATGCATGAGATAGTCACGAATTAGTAGTTGCAAGAGTATGCAGGATTCCAATATCTTTCTGGTAGAACCATAGCATATGTTGTGTTATCATTCTGAGGGCATCAAGTCGTATAAGAAGGAGGGTGGGTATTGAAGTTTCGATGCTATGGGCTTCATCGAGAAGCTTTTCGACTACCATCGATAAGCTGGCATCATTGGATACAGCCGGGTTCCTGTCACATGGTGTGAGGAATGCTCTGCGGGCTATGGGATTCACTGGCCTTACTAGCATCCAGGAGAAGTCTTTTGAGCCTATTGTCAAGTGAGTTAACTTCCACTTACTGATTCCTTCGTCTACTTTAGTGGATAACCCCTCGGTCTACTTTGCTGAGGATTCACTTGTGTTCGACTTCTTAGGGTATTCCCTAGAAATTCTCAGGCTAGTTTAGCGTAGTGGTAGGATGTCTTCACGTAAACCTCATGATCGGTGGTTCAAATCCCTCCCATGGCTTCAATGAAGTGACTCTTGCTTTACGTTAGAGGTCAGCCATTCATCGGTCGGGCTCGCACTGGCACCGGCAAAACTCTGGCCTACTTGCTACCAATCACCGAACGGCTGAGGAACGAGCGCTTCTCCGGTCCAGGGGCAGCCATCGTCGTCCTGCCCTCCAGAGAATTGAGTCGACAGGTATAGAAGTACTGATGAGCTATCCCCATCCCCCTGCAGGTGGCATCGGTCCTGTTGTCTCTGCTACCTCAAGCCACAGTAGTCTTAGCGACGGGTGGGCACGGCAACATGAAAGCCCTAGTTAGAGAGATCGAGAACAGCAATCCCGAGGTCATCGATATTCGTCCCCGGTCTTGCTCAGCTGATTGCTGTTAGATAGTTATTGGGACTCCCGGTCGTATAGTACAACTCGTGACGAACGGGGCAATACCAGTCGGAAGGATAAGGATAGTTGTGCTAGATGAAGCCGATGCAGTGCTCAAAGGTAAGGAGTGTGCCTCGACAGTTGTCGCTTTATTGCTGATGGTCATCTCGTTTCAGATGGCACCAAGACGAGCGCTCACGTGGAGTCACTGCTAGCCCAAGTGAAGCCGTTTTCGCCACAGACTGTGGTATTTTCGGCATCGATGTCGGATGTGGTCGTGAGGAAGGTGTCCGAGATTGGTGGAGCTAATTCAGTGAAGGTGGATCTTGTGGCCAGTGGTTTCAGTAAGTGTCGCTGTACGGACTGTAAACTCTGTCCATTCTGATAGAATCAAAGGTGTCCCTTGAAAGCTCCCAGCTCCAGTCGAATCGTCTCTTTGGGGAAAATATACTTAGTGGAGTAGTGAAGACGCGATGACACAATTTGCCATAGGGCCACGAGCCTCATAGGTTTGAGACCGGTATCCGAGTACCACTACCCTGAACTTAGTTGATAATAGCAACAACAACGTTCTAGTCCATCGTTGTCAGGTTACCGTCAGCCAGCAACAGTCCGATCGACTATCCACAGGATGATTCGTCTCCCTGAGCGTGCTAACCTCACTCGTTATCGAGGATTGTGCCATGTTCTCCGAGGCCTCGCAGCGGACAGTCAGGCGCTCATCTTTGCGAACACCACCAAGGAGGCTCTTGCTATTGCCCGGCACCCTGCAGTGGAAGGTCTCGGGGTGAAACCTTTACATTCGGAAATGCCCCAAAGTCAACGTGACTGGTTGCTCAACTCTTTCCGTGGTAGAAGGATTCGCTTTCTGGTCACGACAGACTTACTCAGTCGCGGGATAGACCTACCAGGGCTCCAGTACGTCATCCTCTTCCGACCACCTGAAGACCCCACAGCGTATGTGCACAGGGCCGGGCGAACGGGAAGGGCCGGTGACGAGGGCGAGGTCATTACATTGTATGATAAGAGTGATTGGCCTATGATGCAAAAGATCATGGAAACGACCAAACAGAATTTCGAGAACAGCAGTCTTCCGACGGAAGAAGAGCTGAGATCGCACGCGTATGCAGCTGTCGCGACGGAAATCTTGTCGGTTCCATCCAATTCCTGGAAGTGTCTTGAAGCGATCGCCAGAGACTTGGTGACCGAAGGCAAGGCACGGGAAGTTCTAGCACGAGTGGTATCGCTGTTGAACACAGACGCTCAGCTGCAACCGAAAAAAAGCAAGGTTTCGCTTTATTCCGGGGTGCCGGACTTCACCGCGGTCCTCATATCTGATTTTGACCACACTCTCTATCCCTCAGTGGAGGCTCTACAGTCACGTGTGCCATGTCCCCTCGAGAGGGTGAGGAAAGCTGAGGCTGGCTGGGTTGCTGATGTTGCGAACTCCAATGTGGATTACTTGATGAAGTCTGGTGTTGTGGAAGTGAACATTTTGGATCGAGTACCCAAAACGTTTGATGCTGAGAAGACGAGAAAAGCGAAGGGAAGGGGCGTGCCATGGCGACATGCCCGAGAATTGACCAAGTTGAGAGCAGCCCGAATCCGACATAAACGAGAGTCTCGGAAAAGCCAATTACAGCAGAGTATGCGGATAACATGACATCTCCCTGAATCACGTTTCTGTCTGCATTCATGATGATTGTGTTGTCATGTCGCTGTATCTTTCATCCCTCTCGTTGGACTATCATCGAGTCCCTCTCGCGGAGTTGCCCCCTACAAAGAGTGAGGGCCTCACTTTGTGAGGCCCCTCCTGGTTAAGTCGGTCTTGGAGCTCAAAGAGGGGACCATGGTATCTCAGAGATATGCCATCCTCCGCTATCTGGGATCAGTAAGCTTCCGTTTTTCCATGTTGTCTGATTGGACTCTTCTCACTGAGAAGTTAATCAAACAACATGGAAAAGTGAGAAGTTATCACGCCTCGATTGAAGTCATCATGTAGTTAAAGCCCTCTGCTAGCCATAACCGTCAATCCGTTTTCTTGGAACGCCTTCGTATTGACGAGCCAGTGAACATAGTCAAGGACACTCCGTAAAGGTAGCGGCTCTCACGGAGATGGTTGAGGAGCTGAGCATGCAGCTTGCAAGATGAGATTGCCTTTGGCATATGCTGCCGGTGTTGTTAACAAGTTTGCCCTCGGCCACGATATGACCGTTACTGATTTGGCAAGGAAGCATACATCCATAGTAATGTAGAATTCTAAGTTACTTCCATAAAACACTTTCAGCGCTCTACCCATCGTATTTATGATTCTTTCTCGGTTGCTGACCAATATGGTGAAGGTCTCCACCAGCGGCTAGATTGATGGTTTCCCGAGGAAACTCTTATATGTCTCCGCTAGAGTCTACAATGTATGTCGTCTACAGTCTTCGTATCCTAGGGTTATCGGTTGAAAGGGCAACGTGGAGTTTGACGCGCCACCCGTACGGAAAGTGTGTGGACAGATCTACTCGAGATCGTCATCGGGTCCTAAAGGTAGATAAATGTATCGGATACTACTTACGCTGTGGTTGGTAAGGTTGTCAGGGGTCACTCCTGAGGAGTGCGAACAGTAATCCTCAAATCACTCCCACGGAAGGCTCTCAATGTAACCGATCGTTTGACGTAAGTACACGTGAGCTAACCTCTGCGCTTCCCCGCCCGTCATTTACTGTCTACTCCCCACAGACAGGGCCGTACAGTCGGACAACAAATGGTAGCTAATAGTTGCCGACTCGGGTCTCCGTCCGACCAGTGGCCGCCGAATGCCGAGTCCATTTACACACAGCAAACAATCGAATCAAAGTGGCTTACAGCAGGGGACAAACCCCCCTACCGTGCGGTGTGTCTGCGTACAGCTCTACACGCAAACACAAATACCACATGTCTTGATTCATACCGCGTTCCCTGAGGTCGAAATCGTCCGGGATAGTTGCCTGAGTGCATGTTCTTATTACTACTTAGGTGTCCTCCTGTCACTATCTCACATCAATACCATGTTAGATGAAGGTGAACCGCTTCCGTTCGACCAAAGTATATTCCACGGTGGAGTCTCCACCTCATTGTCGCGTGAGTCATGCTCCCCAGTCCTCATATTCTAATTCAGCACTCCTGAGGATAAAATGGATGACCACCCAATTGCAATCAATCATTGAATTGGTTGAATCGGTGCACACAAAGAGGAGCTGTCCCTCCTCTCCTCGATGACTGATTAGCTTACGGCTAAGAAATCATCTAATCTATAGACAGACGCAGACAAGCCACTTATGTTCAAACGACGTCAGTTCTTCATTCTTTTGCAGTTCTTTGTTAAGCAAAGTTTGTTGCATCCACCCATGGTTCTCAAGGTGCACTACTTCGATGCCGCCAATCGTGGAGAGCCCATCCGCTTAGCTTTGGCCATTTCTGGTGAGTCTTACCACCTGTTCCACTCCATCCTACTGTTTCTGATCAGGCATTAAGTTCGAGGATGTTCGTATCCCCCGCGAGGATTGGGCAGCCAAAAAGGCAGCCAATATCTATCCGATGAACCAAGTGCCAGTTTTGGAGTTTGAGGATGGTACGATGGTGTCTCAATCAGGCGCCATACTTCGCTATGTTGGATCGGTAGGGAACACTGGGCCTGACTAGAGTCTCCTTATTGTGCTCTTATCTCCTCAGTTGAATCCTTCTGCTGGACTCTATCCCACCGATATACTCCAGAGACTCCGCGTCGACGAAATGCTCGGTATTGTCACTGATGTGCGTGGCAAGATAGTCCCTACGATGCGTATGAGTGATGAAGCTGAGAAGGCCGCAGCCCGCAAGGTAGGAACGTATTCGACTGTTCGTTCTGAGACTTTAAGAGTAGACTAGCTTGGCGGCCGAAGAGGCATCTTGATCAGTAGATTAGGTTGTTTGGTGTATATACATACTCATCTACCCTTAGGAACTGACTACAACCACCCTTCCGTTCTATTTCGAAAGGATAGAGAAGATCATGGGTGAACACAAGTTCTCGGCCGGGGACAACTTGACCATCGCTGATTTGGTACGCTTTTAGTTCAGCCACTGTTTGTACCAATAGTCATGAACTCTTCTTTGTTCTTGTGTAGGATCTGGTCGGCGTTATCGATTGGTTGTCTTCGGGTGTCCTAGACGGCATCCCGGCGGATCTCGTCAATGGTTACCCCAAGCTGCTGAATCTTCGCAAGCTGGTTCACGACATCCCAGCTGTCGCTCTTTGGAAGCAGAAACGCGAAGTCGTATCGCAGTAAGGTCTTGTTCTATTCCGTCTTTCACTCGATTTCAATCGAGTCGTGCTCGAGATGTTCGAGCGGATGATAGTCGGAAACTATGATCCAGAGTAGCAACGATGATTTTCTCGGATGGGGCCATATTGTTTAATCGCCACTCGCTCGTGTTGAGTTTGTGCGAAGGAGTTGAGGCAGTGAAGAAGTCACTAATAGTCACTGACGACTGGTTCGGAAACTGAACTGAGGGAGTAGGGACGGCATTCCCCGACTCCGTAACCAATGCTGCGAATATAGTAGTGAGGCTCGGCTCCTGGTTTGTATCATTCATCTCCGCTCTCGAGTTTTGCGGGATCGATCGATACTTCTACCACTCGTAGCATCCATGAGTGAGAACTCAATTGGAACCCGTTGGGAATCCGAATAGGGATACGCTTTGCTTGCATCCTCGTGTTGCACTTGTATTTTTGTCCCTTAATTCAAAAGCTCCTGTCTCAAGGTGTAAGAAGGCGAGTACGCTCAACTGACTTCATCGAACACAATATCACTTCAGAAATCCGGAGCTTAACTCTAATAAATCAGGTTGAATCACAATCTTAACGGGTCGAAAACTGCTGGAACTAACGACTTCAAGTATGATGCGTCGCAGTTATCTTCCATAATGTACTGTTAGCTCTTCCTTCGAGATCACGGCCACGAGCGGCCGCCCCTCCTCGTGAGGACTTCTCCATATTAGTCAGAATCGAGACACAGTCGTGAATGAGCCTGAAATTCGTCAAGACCGTGAAGACCCACTGTAGCAGACTCACGGTTCTTCTGGTAAATCCGTCACTCCTAGTTCTCTGGCCTGGACTAATGCCGTTTCAGCCCGCAATAGTGCTTCCGATAAAGGAACCTCATCACCAATGCGAAACTTGCCCAAAGCTCCATGTGTACCTGCCAGTTGATCAATGAACGGTATCCCTCAAAGAACTAGTGGCTTCGCTTACCTGCCAAGACGAAGCCTCCTGTACTTGATTGCTTGAGTCTACATGGGTCGTCGGGAGAGGCGCTCTGAAGGAGAAAGAGGCCAGTTTGAATCAGCTGTGCTGATGGACCAACTTCCTCACCGTGCAGTTGCTCTTGATGTGAATCCCTCGTTCTCGGGAGGCAAGAGGCTTCATACCGAGCGCTGTTCGAATGACAGAACGAAGATGCATGACCCTGTATAAAAGCTACATAGAGAGCCTTCGAATGAGCATGCCCTTACTGTGTCAACTTATCGATCAGCTCATCTTCTCTTGGGCATCGAACAGGAGTTGTGTTCACTATGACGTCGTTGAGTAGATCAAATAGCCTGTCGAATTTGATGGGCTCATTGCCGTCTAGTAAAGCCTTTATCCGAGTCTCCCAAGGATCTCCACAGCGTTCCTTAAGGCCGAAGAGCCAGTCAGCGTTAGGGGGCTCTATCGGGACTCTCCATGGGATTCCCTCAGATTCCCGCTCATCCAAGAGGGACGATATGGTAGACATATCCACTCGAAGTGCCAATGCACTTCGAGGAGAGGATGGCGGTGATAATGTACTGGTACTGGTCATAGAAGGCGACCTGCCAACTATGTCATTTGCAGGAGGTTCCGTTGCCGCGCACTTCTTCTTTTTCCACGACCTCATTGCGTTCTCTTTCGCCCGTCTATCAGGCCTGGTCGGCGTGAGGTCACCCTCGCTGTCCATACACTCTAAATCGTCTAAGCGGACCTCATGTGCTATGGAAGGCTGTTGAGGAGTTTCCCCAAGGTACAGGGCCACCGAACGGTGAACTCTCTCTATCTTGCGGGACCACAGTCTCCACCTCTTATAACGCCGCTGGCAACCTGATCAGAAACCCTCCCACTAGGCTGAGCCATACCGTAACTCTCCCCTCACATTCGAGGATCTTGGACAGGTCCTCTGGGGCCAGGACGTGATGAATGACCTTAGAGCTCACTGGATGGCCACAGCATGATCCTATATGCAGGTTACAATAAACCAACCTGAAGTGAACTCTAACATGACGATTCCCTCAAGGTGATAACCTACCCGCAGTCCCGACACTCTCCGGCCACAACAGAGCAAAATTGGCGGCATATACAGCAAAGGGCGCCATCGGGTTCGTAGCCGTAGAGGTATGCTATGCTCCTGAGGGAACAGTTAAAACCATACTGCTGCTGGATAGATCTTCTTACTTGGATGCTGGCGAACCGGTGTGCTTGAAACCCAGTGGTGACACAGTGCGGCGAGGCCTCGAGGTGTTGATGATCAACCATGGTTTTTCAGGGTCGACTCGAGAGAGGATATCACTGGACGAACGAGGCGAGGTAGGTATGGCCTGACCCTATGCATGAGGTAACGGGACCAGTAGTAGTAGGAAGAAAAAGAGGTGTTTACCTTGGGAGTAGCCGTCCGCTGGCGTTTGATATAGTGGAGATGCCTCATGGCTTGCAGTGCCAACATAGGATTCATCTCCTCTCCCGTCGCATACACACGACAAATGTTGATTACCAAATCATCGAAACAGAAAATGGGCCGTCGGCACAACTTGGTGTAGGCCCGACCTGCCCAAGAAGACCCTTCACTAGTCTCGATACGATGAGCTCTCACCTGCGACCGAGCCCATGGTTATCCAGTCTCTTGCCGGTACATTCACCGCTTCTGCCAGATTGATACCAGCATTGAATCCGCCATGATAAGCACCCGGAAAGGTAAGCACGATGTCCCCTAAAAGCATATAAGGCTCTCTTCAAATGACAAGGACCATGCCAGCGACACCTGGGCGTTGGACTCCTCGTGTGACCAAGAGCCCCTGAGTCAGAAGCACCTTAGGGTCGATCATAGTGGTCATGTGCTGAGAGACAACTGATGCCAACATCCTTGCATAGATCGCACTGGGATCACCTGGGTCAAATCCGGGATGCTGCTGCACAGTGTTGGTAATTCCCTTCGGAAGAGGTCCTCCATCGCCCTCGCCTGTCGACCTGGTACGCTGTACCTAATGGGAGGCTCTGAAGGCCGAGGCACTAGGAGGGACACTGACCATATCTTGGCCGCTCCTGCATGATGGAAGTTTATACTGTACAAGTACTGATCCTCAGCATGCCAACAGAAGGCACTCAGAGCCTATGACAAAAATGATGAATCACATGACAGTGGAGGAGGGAGCCTACCGAACCAAGGTAGACCCAAGGCCGAGTGACTCCGGCTATGTCCAGAGGACCGCCACCATGGGAAGGTAAATACTCGTTGAGGACACTGTCAGGTAGTAGAGGTAGTGTACCTAGGGACGGCTGGTACCAGGTGTGCTGAGCCGAGGGCCTACGAAGAGACCACTGCTCTCCATCTGCTAGGCCGTAGGGTGTCCCCGCCCTAGGAAAAACATTGCTCGACACTTCAGCTGAGTCCAGATCGTTGCCATAACTACACCATAACTCGGACAGGGTCGGACACGCCTCGTCGTTGCTTACCATATGTCATCATATGCTGCCTCGGCCGGTGAACTCTCGTCCCGGGCTGAACCGAAATTCACAACTCTCCAGAAGACTTCCTCAACCGTCGATTCTTCCGGATGTGCTCTTCCAAAGATCTTCTCACATCTGCTACGGCGATAGGGTCCCCCTACTATCACGAGGACCCACACTGAATCATTATGCGCTATAAAGTCGGCCATTGACATGTCTGAGCTCCAGTTAAATCCAAATCCGGTCTCCTCCTGTGAAAGCCACGCCAAAGATGTATCTGAGGAGGAATAAGACCAGAGAATCATCCAGGGACCTATAATGTTCCTAGGGCGAACTCATTTCGGATTTTCCACATGGCTAGGAACACATTCTTCAATCAGTTTCTGTTGTGAATGTCATCATCATATTGAGAACATTTTCCTCATTGTTATCAAACCCTGGGGAACATTATTTCTCGACGCTGAATGAGTCCTTGCATAAGACGACTTAGAGACGATCCCTCATACCTCTACGAGCACGCTTAATGCAACGGGGACAGAACCAGTCCATGTCCAGCTCCACTCTCACATCGGGGTACTGCTCTACTAGACACGATACGTGCAGGGAACACTCACATGCCAAACCTACGCATACAGTGAATGCATACCATCACCATAGGCATGGGTACATTTCAAATAGGGTCGTTTGGGATCTGCCTCGGACGGGAGCAGCAGACAGCAGGCCTCACAGAGAGCAGCGGTAGATCGGTCCTCAGCAGCTCGACTGAACCTTTCGGCTTCCTCGAAGGTCGAACCATTAACCTACCACAGTTAACCTCAACCTCAGAACAGGCCTCAGTTGAGATTAGTTTCCATCACCCCTTTGGATGGGGCTCGTTGCCCATATTGTGAACAGCTCTACGACCCTTATCCGACACGACTAACTGATACGCTGGAGTGAATTCCTAATACACTATTACCCCAGAAGGTTTCGAAGCGTTATGAAGGGTCGTCAATTCACGGATACGTTAATGCATCGATAAGTAGGATAAGACATACATCTCGGAAATCACATGTAATGTGTTGATACTATTGTTGAGATATTACACTAGATAGCGACTGTCTACTGTTGTTACCGCAGCTACGTATGATTCGGACCCACCTTAAGGAAGAGTAGCTCATTAGGGGAGAGGACATCCTTTGACCTCATCTCCACTGACGATCCATCCACAGGACTGTTCTCCACGACCATCATCCTTTTATCTCGTCTCAGGACAGTAGTACTGTACCTTATGACTGTTGTGGTAACATCAAAATGTCCGTATCCATCGTACTTGACTATTCCCCCATCCTTAGTGACGTCCACTCTATAGAAGGTGTCTCCGGGTTTCACAGCTTCAGCAGTGGTCCTCACGTCCCCCCAACAGGCCTTACTGTCGACTAATGCAGTCGTAGGGTTCAATAAGACCGATTCATACTGTAACAAGTGTCTTTCCAAATGGGAATGCGCTGTTCTCTCACCCCTCGAATCCAAGCATCATATATCCGCCTTATTTGATCGACAACCCGGGGCTCCACTTCGCTCAGGTTGGCCCGATGTAATCTCAGCGAAGCTCTCGCGATTTCCTCCCAGTCGCCTCGATGCTCTCGCCAGGAATTGAACCTGGGTGCATTCCCTTGCGTTAACGAGACTCACCAAATCTCACAGTGTGAGGAGACTTATCCGGATCGTTTGATGTCTACTTAGGTCCTGCTCAGCAACCTCGCTAAGCCGTATGCGTTTTACGGACTCCCCACAAGGCTGAGGGTCCAGCCATAGATGGGGTATTTGGGCACAGGAGGGCAAAGGTTGACCACGAATGAATCTAACCACAGCGGACCTGAGGATATCTCACAACGCCACACTGACCTAAGAAGCCGAAGCTTCTTCTCGAAGATGGAGTCCTGACGTCGGAATCCGCCTATCTGCGATATGTGCTGAACTCGGGGGCGAAATCTCATCGAGGGATTCTTCCAGATTTTATAGGTACTAACAAAAAGTGAATTCAATATGCTATCATCATCGATCCCACCTAGGCCTAGACGGCTCTGCTTTTTCAACCTTCATGTGCTTGGGAGTACTAAGGTATAAGTCGCTATTTTCATATGCCATAGTAGCGATTGGTCTGAGACCCACCTTATCGTTAGAGGATCTCCCAAGGCCTTCCAAGGACCAAGCCAGGAAGGTGGCGGTTTAATGATAACCACGCCGTACGTCTGTCCGTATCTATTCTATCATTTCCATCAATAGGAATGTGTCTCGAGATTACTGGGCATGGAGTTTTATGAAAAGTTCGTAGGGGTCTTCGAATTCCTCCGCCGATGCGAAGTAAACCGGGGAGGGCGGGATGACCGAAGCGACCTGTTGTCAACAGCTCTTTGCAGTGACGAAGTCTCCTTCGATGGTGAATACCCATCATGCAAGACTCACATCTGGTCCCCACGCATGTTGGCTGTTCACATTATTAGCCTTTTCTTCCCGTGGTTCATCTTTCACGACGATTTGGTCATTGAATGTAGGTGAAGGAAGCATTGAACCCCTACTGCGAGTGAATTCATCATCAATACCATCCTACCTCCCATTCAATGATGTCCGTATCCTACACGTCATAGCTACAGCAGCACGCGTGCTAATAGGGAGGAGAACAACCGCTGTGCGATGACACATGCGCGTAATTTTAGGGCGCGCGCGACTTACAACAGCGCATATGATCACCGGTCGCAAATACAGTACTACCTGCAACCTAAGAGGGAGACGGTGAGGAGACTTCTATCCAGCCTGACGTATTCAAAGGCCCACTACGAGTAATTAGATTGGAAGTCCGTTAATCAGCAACGCAATATAAGGCTACATGTCCACACAAGAAAGCCTATGGTACATGGAGGAGGGACGACCGAGCTGTGGTAGGCTAGATGTAGACGGCGGTAATTAATCCTTGTATGCTGTGAAGGCGAGAAAGAGGGATGAATGAGTTATCGCGATTCGGTCAATGCTCCTTCGTGAGAGCAGAGACGACTCCTTTGTAAGAACCCCTCGTGGTACAAAATGATCAAAAACTGATGTGACATTCGTGGTCGCTCTGATGTCACGACGGAGAGGAGCTTCTAAGCCATGAACAATAGGGATCTCTACCATTCCAGCTTGAAGTTGCGGGAAAACCCCCCATACGAACAGGTTGCTGGACGCGGTGAATGCACAAGCCGTCTCTGGACCACACGCGATGAGGAAAGCCCTATCAGGGAGGGGCAGACAGAGGGGAATCCTCGATAGTTTCACATCTCCACCACAGCCCAACTGCCCCCTGTGACCACTGCCAAAGGACAATACGGAACCATCACGACACAAACAGAGGGAGAATACGCCACCACAAGCAACGTTCTTGACAGCCTTGCTACGTAAGTTGCTGACCTCAGTAGGGACAGCAGCATACAATTGTTGGTCACCCAGACCCAGCTGACCCAGACTGCTGTCACCAATTCCGAAAACTCTATCCTCCTCACAGAGCACGAACAGGGCATGCTTCCACCCCGCGGCTATCGTTCGAACTTTATAGGGTATTCGTAGGAGCCGCACTAAAGGTGCCAAGACTGAGTCATTCACTAGCGTTCGAGCATCGGCCTCAGTGATGCGACTGAACCGTCTGGCAAGATCCGTCATAGGCATGCTCTCTAAGACAAGTCCTTCAGGCTTGACACGAGGCAGAAGATGGCGATCTGTTGCATGGAGGACTATCCCGCTGGAGAGGAGCCAGTAGACTGAATTGGCACTCTCAGCGGCCTTCACGACGTTGCCGTCACAACAGTGGGATGCCACCTCGGATGAGCAGGCGATCCTCGTTGGTGGGATGAGACTCTGCTGGATCACGGACCCTGGGAATGACAGTAGGCGCTTCATAGGAGGGATCATCTCACCGGCTTGGGCAATCGATGGACGGGTGACGTCATATTTGAGCGGCAAGGACCAGTATATACCCCTAGAGGCACTACGAGGGTTCGATGTCGTATACCTAGGGACGACAACATGGAAGCATATGAATAGATAAGAGGACGCCGCTTAGAGTGAACTACAGAGCACTCATGGTCCTAGCTGACGAGGTCCATTTGTAGCGCAGACGACCTTCTTCTCCTGGTAGAAAAGTTATGCATTGGAATCTCAGTTCGTGAGGATTGAAGACGTACACCTCAGCGTTGCCGTAGAGCAAGTGTATCTGAACGGTTGCTGTAGGGGGGTATCCTCGAGAGCTCTCACCTCTCCACTGGAGATAGACGTTCTCAAGGAGCGGATGGGACGTATGACGTTACGATGGCTCGGAGGGGACCAATATCGCCACACCAAAGCACCATCAGGACCACGACCCAAGTAGGCACATGAGCTGCCAATCCAGCAATTAGGATCCTTAAAGGCTCAACAGAGGTAGCACATCACCCTCCATTAGAGGGGCCTCCCTGGGGCTTTTCTCGAATCGAGCTCCCTGGTATGCCATCAACAGCGGTTCCCGCCGACCCTGAATGTCGGCACTGGAGAGTGATATCTACCTCTCCCATTATACCTGAGCCCGATAGAGCAGTCTTGGACGTCGGCGCAGAGTACAAGCGCATGCATGTCGGGTTGTCACGACCCCAGGTATGATCTGCAGACATCGGAAGGGGCAACACTCTCGTCATCGATGGGCCCACCATAGTCCCGTCTACCACTCACTCTCGACGATAAAAGCTTCAAGTCCTCTGTTACGGCTCGAGCCATGGCAGCCATTTTACTCAGTTCGTACTCCCGATAGGCAGCCGATATAGAGATCTTGACAGGACATACCACACCAGAGTGAACTGATGTGGAATTCCACCAGGATACCCTACATCAATTGGCAGCATTGGGCTGCCGACTTCAATAGAGTCTCGATGACGAGCCATAATTGCTACGAAATCGGCCTCATCGATCATCGAGGCCATTGAGGTTGTCTTTTTGGGTCTCTTCCAAAGGCCTGGCTCGAGAGCTCCCAACAGCGCTTCCACCTATCACCATTCTTGTCACACGTCCCGTCCCCCACTACCCTACTATCAATAAAGGTACCTTTCCTTCACCACTGGCGTCCAGTACTCGGAATAATCCTAAGGACGTGAGACCGTTCCTAAGGTCCGATGGTGTTACCGCATTACGCCGTATATTCTGCTCCTCGATAAAGGTTAGCTGGTGAGCCCCCCGTAGATTCCGAGACCTCATCCAGTTCTGAACGCTTGTCAACTCGGCCACGGCTGAACAATGGCGATGGTTATCAAGGCTGAGGCACATGCTACTACTACTTGGCTTCGCAACAAGTGTCTGCTCATCCTTCCAACTCCTCACAGTTCTAGCGGTGCTCATAAAGTGTGCTCGCAATAGACTTGTTACCCTCTCTGCCGATCGAGCCGGGGCTGTTGATGGTCTACTACCCCTGTCCATTACTATGTTCGCTCAGTGACTCGAGGGCATGACCAACTACCACGATAACGCAACGCCTAGCAGTTCAACGGAATCAACGCTTACACATGCAAAGTGTTTTATGACTATCTGACTCAACCTAGTCGATCGAGAGTAGGCCACAATCGCCGACGTCATAACGCAGCCTCAGGCATGGTAGACAGAAGTTGAATGTCTCGTCGTATGTTTAGATCTCATAGTAGGGTGAGAGGGAGATGCCTGCATCTTATACGGCCATGACGATGATGAGCAGTGAGGCTTAGTGTGAATGCTCATACGCAGACTTTAGCCTTCAGGAGATTCCGTCTGATTCTCGCTAAGTAGGCTGCTACTGGCCAACTGACGAAGGCGCGGCATGCTTGAGATGGAACTGGAATCATTACAACCAGACTTCGATACGGCCGTGCGGGGAGGCCTACCTTACCAGACCATCAGATCGGGACAAAGCTAGTCACTCGTGGTCTTCTAACACCAGAACTCATTAGTGGCACTCAAGTGTTCGATGCAAAATGCCAACATATATAGAGTGACCACAGAAGTCTGATGCGGTCAATTACGATGAGAATCCTATGGCGATACTTTACAATTCGAGTAAATGATGGTTGGCACATAGTGCAGTTAAACAACTCAGTCCTTTCCTCTTTATCCCCGGCTACCACAGCCTCCCTGACGATGATGGGATCGTCTACGATACCAGACATGGCGACAGTACTAAGGAAGGCACAACAATCCATGAGCAGCAACCCGACTGCCAGGTTTGTCGATACCTCTCCACACCCATCGCCAGCAGAAGTGAATGAGCATGCACCTTCGGTGTCCAGGAGAATCCAGACTTACGACAAGGTACCCAAAATACCGGACTGGTCCGGGACTAATCAGTCACCTCTTCAACAGTGCTCAACGTCCTCACGTTAAAGAGCAGAATATGCTCTTGTCCAATGGCTCAGCACAACAGAGTCAATGAACTTCCCCCCACGCGCTCGGTGGGAAGCGGATGTTTTCCATCCCAAGGTTGTGTTAGAATACATTCACTAACCATGAGCCCTCATGTATGATACAACACAACCCCTCATGACTGGTCACAAGTGTCTATAGTCAGCAATAGATGGAAACAGATGCCCACAGGAGTGTATGATGGTTATCGGCTACTTCTTATCAGGACTATCATCAGACCATACTGAGGTGGCAGGTAAGGTGAGGGAGGAGAGGTGAGTAGCATTACTCTATCGGGTGTAGACGAGGTCATCAATCTTCATGATCATCCTAACCGTCTCAGAGGCACCACGAATGGCACTTAGAGAAACCAACAGGGGCTGTAGAACCTGTGACAACTCCCATCCAAACGACCCAGGTTCGATCCCAGCACCCCGCACTCACCTTCAGATTCTTAGCCATGTCCTTTTCTATCTTGCCCTTTCTAACGTCAATACCAGCGAACCTCGAGCCATCAGCATGGGCCGCACCTGCAACCATTCCATGATGCCTCGAGCACTGACCCTCTCCATTACGAAGTTGAGTAACGATCTCCACTGGAGCCAGACCAGCATTCTCAGCGAGTGTGTAGGGAATGATCTCAAGGGCCTCGGCAAAGGCTCGCACGCAGTAGGCCTCGACGCCCTTCAACTCACGTCTAGTCCACTGACTCAGACGGACCTAACCAGAAGAGGATCTAGCAGGACCAAGACAACCAGTATTAGTACGCTGAGCTCCATCTCAACACTACCGCCGCCCGGTAGGACTGCAGGCTTCTTCACAAGGGAACGTACGACACACAAGGCATCGTGAAGGGACCTTTCGGCCTCATCAAGGGTCTGAGGATAAAGGCGATAGTGGAGGCGCAGGAGAGGCTATAGGAGCTTACCAGCGAGTTGGTGCCTCTTAACAAAATCGATACGCACTTAGATGTGGTCAGCTTGGGCAGACCAGTGAAGCGGATAACAGTACCAAGACCGGACCCCAAGGGCTCCTCACGACTACAATTAAGAACATCAGTAAATGAGAAGGGTTCTCGGTCAGTACGTACACCAGCTCAGCCTCACCAAGCTTGTCCTTAGTGAACTCCTGTAGGCTGGCCACAGGCTCACATCCCAAAATACGAGATAAGAAATCAATATCGTCACGCTCAACATCACGGACCTGCATAGCTCATAAGAAACCATTACCACCAGAGGGGTACCCATTACCACTAGGATCTTAGCCTTGGCACAGAAGTCCAGACTGAGGTTAGTCACGGCATCACGGAGGATGGATTTCTGGACCAATAGGACCTACATCGGGAGCAACGATGTATAGTTAACCACAGAGAGGCACTCTACGTTGCAACCGGTCTTAGCAATGTGCTTGACCATCTTAGCGAGCTGGACACGCTCTTCTCTGAGGATACCTAACAGACCCACACGTCGACCATGAGGCTATCGTAGAGCTAACCCACGGTCCATCTGGGCATAGTCATTGACAGTAACGTTGTTCTCCATATCCGTCTTAGGAGGGGACAGGCAGAACTGGATGAGGCCGATCTTGGCCTTCTCAATTTTAGTAGGACCTAAGAGAAGGGAAGATACACTGAGCACAGTGCGTTCTTGAAGACTACCTCCGGCAACCTTGGCAACCTTCTGGCTCATCACAAGACCATCGACTAGCTCGGAGTCGTCAATGGTGCCACCCAACTTGCGGCAAATACGTACCTGGGGTGAACGCATGCACATCTCAACAGTCTGCTGATGTCTACGTCATTGAGGTCAACAACACCGCCTTGTTGAGGGTCCTCGGGGAGCTCCGCAACCTTCATAACCTGTGGAGGGTGAGGTACTCACTGACGGAGAGATGAGAAGTCTCTTACGGCATCAACGGCCATTGGGGCAAGAAGGCTCGCTGATTGAGCAACGACCTTTGAATTGAGAGAAGTGCCTATGGTGTGGTATGAGGAACGCTGTAAACAAGGCGCGAGGAAAACTCACTGGCACTGGTAACGAGGCTGTCCCTGTCCTCCAAGCTGATTGGGATGCTCATGTCTTCAAGGATTGCCTCAGCCTTGTGCGCGGCCAACAGGAAGCCATCACTAATCGTATTAGGATGAATACCACGGCCCAGTAGCTGAAATGCACCACCATTCACCCTCACTGTCGAGCGATCGCCTTGGGTATTATTACATTTTGAGCAGCACCGAGGAGTGCACCAGCAATGACAACGACAGAAGTCGTACCTGATGGGACAGTCAGAGGCCTACCACCTACCCCCCAGTAGCCATACCATCCCCAGCCTCAATGTCCTGGCTCTTGGATAGCTCAACAAGCATCTTAGCAGTAGGGTGCATCACCGACATCTAAACGGGTTATCGTAGTGCTGTTAGGGTTACTACCAGGAGCAGCCCACCTCTCTAAGGATCGTGGCACCATCGTTGGTGATGACCACCTCCCCACTGCCGTCCTGGATCATCTTATCCATTCCTGAATCACAAATTCGATGAGTTCAATCATATGAGTATCTTGAGGTCATCCCTCAGTTCGTAATCGATCAACCATAATGTGTTCGTACCCCTCGGCCCAAGACTCGTCCTCACAGCGTCAGCCACTGCCTTGGCCGCAATGATGTTAGAGGCACGGACGTCACGGGTCTTGGAATTATCAAGACGAATGTCTCCCTTGTTGGAAGCCGTCTGCTGAGTGACGCCGCCGGCAGTTGCGTTAGCAGTGGTTGAAGACATGTTAAATTACTAAGTTCAGTATAGTCAACCACCTATCAAGAAATCTATGAAGAGGAACAGAGACGTTGAGGAAATCCAAGTGTAACCAAGATAGCAAGTGTAGCGTTAAGCTGCAGCCTAAGACAACGACGCAGCCTGAATAAACATCTACACTGCAGCGCCGGATCGTTATTAGTGATCTAATCCTGATCCCCTTTTTCTTGGACGCTATACACGATATTATCTACTACTTGTACTGCGGTCATTTCTTATTGTTGCTGTGCTACCTTTGAGTAGATCCAGTGTACTAAGTTGTTGGTCTTCAGTTCAACTTGTTTTTTTACGAACAACCTTCTACCAAATCACCATGGCCAACCAGCAGTCTCAGCAACTCATTCAGCAGCTCTTGAAGGCCGAGCAGGAGGCCGACACTTACGTTAGCCGTGCCAGAGAGAACAGGTAAGATTCCCTACTACTATTCGAAGTTAGTTGTTGATGATCTCTATCTCAGGACTAAGAAGCTGCGTGAAGCCAAGAGCGCCGCTCAGGACGAGGTCGCCTCTTTCCGTGCTAAGGAGGAGGAGAAGTTCAACCGTGACTATGCTGTAAGCTTTTATATGGTCTCATTCTTTCTGCTCCAACTCGCTCGTTTTCAGGCTCTTCAGAGCACTTCTGGTGGTGAGGATGAGGAGCTTGCCAAGCAGACTCAGGCCGATATTGACGCCATTCACGCTGCTTACACCAAGAACTCCAAGGTCGCCGTCAAGTACATGGTCGATCGTGTCTTGGATGTCACCCCTGAGCTTAGCAGAATCCAGGTCGATGTCCTTTCCATGTAAAGCTCTGTTGGTTTCAACCTCATTCCCAGCAATAGAGGTTGTCACTGGTGAATAGTTAGATTGATATTTTGCCGGTATTACCATTGTTGACGAGTGATTCGGTGACCTTGAGAGTATTCACAACTCGGCACTATGTGCAGTTGCTGTATTCTTAACTCAACTTGTTGCGTTGTCACTTCATCATCGTACATCTCTGTGATTTTCGGCTGTTGGGAGATCGCTTCCCTACACCTCCTGGAGGTGTATAGTCCATTGCTGACTAACGGATGTGATCTTTCTTTGAGTTATCACTGCATCGGTGTCGGAATAGTCCTTGTACAAGTCGTGTATGCGGAATTTCATTATAACTTACACGCACAATTAGCGAGGTGTCGAGTTTTCGGCAAGTTCAAGGTCATAGGGAACACCATGGTCATTTGGTACTAGAAATAGCTACATAGCGAATATAATTATTCGAAGCGATGGGTGTTGCCACCTAAAGGCCGAAATATGATTTATATTGTACTGGAGAGTCCCTTCTTGCGCTTTACTCGGAGTAAACTGATAAGAACGACATCGACTTCTGAGGCACTGTGTCAATGTCGGGTACACCAATCCACATAAGGGGAGATAGTGTGAACGTTCTCAATGCATGGAATGCATGCGTGATGACAACAAATAATTCGACTTTTCACGATATACAGAAAACCTAAGTCCGCATCTGGGCGCAGGGAAAGGGTCAGCATCAGCCCAACGGAAACGCGGTCCCCAGAGCAAAGCAAGAGTCAATTCAAGTAGAGAGTTATCGATGCAGTACTCGTTGGAGAACGTCTCGTATTCACTGAAGATTTCCACAAGTCGCAACCGAGTCGTTGGTATATTTCCATTAAAACGGAGGTAGTTCGTGTATTCATTCTTGGAGGCTGCAGATTATGAAATCGGGTTTGAAGATTACGTGTGGCTTCAAAAAAGGTCTTCCGAAAGGTTCATTTTTCTCAACGGCATTCTAACCTCTTCGAAGACGTAGCAGGTGAGGGATGGAGCGAACAACGCAACAACCTAGATAGGAAAAATTATAATTTGGCAGTCGTGATGGTGGCGCAATGTTACTGAAAATGAAAGTCAGCGCCGAATCGTATCGAGGTATAGTGGTGTTTATAGTATGAATAATTATAAATATTTACACTCAGAAGGCAGCGGAGTAGGCATCACTCCTCAGAGACGATCCGATCATCTCCAGAGCAAAGGTTGGTATCTACGAAAAGGTATGGACAGAATTCAACGGGGCATTCACGTTACCTATGCTAAGGTTGACTGGACCTTTCTTTTGACCGGAGCCTTGTTGACTATCTCCTTCTCCACTGCTCACCAACACTGTGGACTTCCTATCTTCTCCACTGCTGCTGTCATTGGCGGCCGCCTCGACGTTAGTGTCGTCATCAAATCCAACCATCTCAATCTCACCATCGAATTGGGACACCCCAGAGCTGCTGTGACACGACATTGAGCCGCTGTTCGTAGGAACGCTGAGCTTATCACTGTTAACGGTGGCAGCATCCGAACCCTTGCACAGAGGCAGCGGCGGTCTAGGAGGGCCGGCCCACAACATGTTCACATGACGACGACCAGTACGCCTATCATCCCAATCAGTGAAGATATCGTATACAGACTCGACACTGGCGATATCGACTAGAGCATCTCCTAAGGCATCGAAGTCCTGTACTCCGGTAGGTAGCTCATGCCACACTCGCTCGTAAAGGCCACTATACAGTACCTACAGTCACAGCCTTATCCACAGCATACTATAATACAGCCCCTCCAGGACAACGGAACTGCGCCAATGTCGGGGATCATTCCTCTACAGTCCCCCCCCCCGTATACTACCTCAGCAGCGAATAGCATGGGTTTATCCGTCTCAGCGCATCTAAGAAGGAATCGTACATTAGCCTCCATCACGTTGACCATATCGATCGCAGGCACAAGCCTGAGCTCATCATAGTCCCCAACTTCGTCATGATCAACAGCCTCATGACTATTCTTCATCTTCTCATCCTCCTCGACCACATCAGCCTTACCAACAGCGACAGTATCAGCACGTGGCCGTCCCTTTACCAGGGCGCTAGGCTGACTTGACACAGAATCGTCATTAGAGCACCCCGCCTCCTCCCCACTCGAAGTTGCATTATCACTTCCCACATCAGAACTGTCGCATTGTCGTTGATTGGGTGATGAGCCCGTCCCTTCAGGACCAGGCGAGCAGGAAGCGGTATCCCGTGCCGCCGACACTGACAACCGCATAGGAGGGGGCGCCTGAGCACTTCTATCTTCCACTGGAGTGTCATCTCGCCGAGACACCTCCGAAGGCTCTGGTCCGCCCTTAGGGGTTACAAGATACCCAAACACCTGCCGTACTGGACCAGGATTAGTGAGGCTCTTCGAACGATGCTGAGCATGGCGATTCTGAGATGACCTCCGCAGCCTCTCGCGTCGTCTGGCTCTATCATACTCCGCGACCACATATTGGGGATACGTATAGTATACCCAGATTTTCTTCAGCCTATCGAAGTCGAGTGACTTAAGATAGCGCACATGCTTTGGGGTGAAGGGAACGTCCAGGAGTAGAGGATTCTGATGCCAGATAGCAAAGTTATCGAGATACTCCTGAGTCATGTCATCCCTGGGCAGTGGACGGTCAGCCAAGGCACATCCAAGGTCGAACAAGGCAATCCTACCCAGCTTATCCCGCATCATATTGTCCTCATGAGCATCCGTATCTCTCAGGGCCATGATGATGAGTGATGCATCTCGCGCCACCTCAGGATCGATATCTCGACAATCAACGTGGGAGGTGGACGGGTGTTTGGCGACGAAGTCCTGAATAACCCCTTCGAACGTGTTCCAACTAGCCACACACGCCTTGGGACAATAGGCTTTTAGATACCGCACTTCCTTCATCGCGTTACTGGCAACGGCATTCCTAACGGCTTGAGTGAACTTGGGGACGTTAGGTCTCTGACTGAGCTCTTGCTTAGGGTTACGGAAGATGAACTGCGGGTCATCCACGTTCCTCCCAAGGAACAATACTCCACCATGCAACGTTCTCACATCACTCTCGCCATGCTTGAACGCTATCCTAGTGAGGTCGTTGAACTGTTGTAAGCGCTTGTTCATACTAGTCTGCAGTAGGACATCTTGCCACTCCGGTAAGTACATTATATCATGCCTAATATCAAGGAACCTTCCCATCTCATAGGGTTGATCAACCAAATCGGTTGATAGCAAACCCGAATCCGCCAGGTCCTCCTCGTCCTCATACACCTCCTCGTCTTCACTCATCTCGTCGTCATCAGCATCATCCACACCAGAGCCAGGAGACATACTCTCACCATCCGGGGCCACTACCTTGAAGACCTGCATCCAACCTGCGATGAACCGATACACCACTGCCCCTAGGCCCATGAGACCCAGCAAGAAGACCAGTACTATGTAATTGTGCTGATACTTGACGGCTATGAATTCCCTAAGGGAGGTGTTACGGGCAACATGATTGAGGTGATGAGCCTTCTCTAGATGTGTCGAGGTCTCCCCTGGTCCAGGTAAACTCAGGGGCCTAATCTTGCCAGCATCGTTGTATCCATACCCTTCCTGTAGCCTTCCAAAGCCCCCTGGGGCCCCTCGAGGACCATTATCATCATCATCACCACCCAGACCACCAAAGAACAGCTTATTAGGACCATTCAACTTGATAAAAATCGATGCCATCTCGTCAAGCGTGACCCCACCTTCCAATGCTAACTGTAACGGCTCAGGACTCCTCCGGCGGTCCTTATACATGTGATAGGGCTCCCCATCCATGCTGCTGGACCCCATACTCCTATCCTCATAGGTAAAGGGTGGATACAGCTGTGGTCGGCCATCATAAGCATGAGGCATGTTAACATAGGAGGGCACTGGTAACTTGTCATAGCCCGGAAACTGAACACAACATGACAAGTAACAAACCGCCCTTGTAGATGCCCTTACTACTACCTCGTGGCACCAAGGGCCAGCATGTGCTACCGGCACCATGGCCAGCTTAGCTGGAGTATCCTGAGGGCTAACCACGGCAAAGACAGATACCACTGGTGAGTCGAATGCTAAAGTGATGATGGGCAGCTTGTCAACTCCTCCATGTTCGTGGACAGCGGGGCATCGGCTACTGTCGAATATCTCCTTATAGACGCTTGTTTGGTTATCGAGTATTCCAATTACACTAGTAAGAGCTCGAGCACGAGCGTTGACCTCAGTACCAGGGAAAAGGTGCTCATGGGTGACTGGTGGGAACTCAACAAAGCTGGCTCCCCATACCTCATCCGAGTCCTCAGCAGCCAGGGAATGCAGGGCCCATTCTTGCCGAGCAAACACCAGTTTATGCTCCTTCATATAATGACCAGTAGGACCGCTAGGGAGATGCCATTGAACTCGAGATGATGAGAAATCGATCGTGATGCCTCCTTGGACCTTACTACCCGTAACGTACATACCCGGGAAGGCCGGACTGTGGAATGGTGCAACGCCAACCATATCTTCTAATAGGGTCGGTAAGTGAGTGAAGACCCTTTGGGAGGGCGACTTGGGGTGGGGCGTGATAATGTATACACTACCATCCAGAGCTGGGACAATCCTAGGGATCCGAGTGGGATCTTCCCGAGCAAGATGGGAGGCCAGATCGCCACTCCCCAGCTCCTTAGCCACAGTCTCGTTGAAGCGAGCATTGACCGTGGGAGAGCTGGCCTGATAGGTCCACAGCTTCGTCCCACACCCATCGTAGGCAATAAGGCGGCCGTCCACAAGTGATACTACAAAGTCTGTGGTGTCTTTGAAAAGGTCCATCATCTCTTGAGACTCGATGGGGTTGGGCAACGACGACGACCCCGACTGTGATGATGACGAAGAGGAGGAGGAGGATGCCGTTGTCGATGATGATGATGATGCTGTACTAGAGTCTCCATCATGAACGACCGTTATGATATCAGGAACCTTGCAAGTGCCATCAGCAGCTTTTACAAGACCCTGGGCTTGGCAGTAACCGCTACCATCATCATTATCATCTTCATCTAACAGCTCAGTCTCCCCCATGTCGTTACCCAAGGCCATATCCTGAGCTGCGACTAGGGACCAATCGTACAAGAGTAGCAGGACCAATAGTAGCAGCAACAAGAGCCTACGATGGGGAACCAGGGCATGCCCACGCCCTTGGTGCCTACGAGACATGGAAAGCGGCCAGTGAATACATTCACTAACCATGAGCCCTCATGTATGATACAACACAACCCCTCATGACTGGTCACAAGTGTCTATAGTCAGCAATAGATGGAAACAGACGCCCACAGGAGTGTATGATGGTTATCGGCTACTTCTTATCAGGACTATCATCAGACCATACTGAGGTGGGAGGTGAGGTAGAAAGGATAGGCAGCGGTGATAACAATAGGAGCCTCGCTCGATGAGAACTCACCAGCTTTAAACGACAGTGACAGCAGCCAACCATTCAAGTAAGCCCGCCTCCACAGGGCACTGAGACTTAGACAAGGGAATGGTAAGAATCCAAATCATTTCAGGCATGAATGGTATCTGCAGAAACTTGCAACACGAATACCTTCAGTGCAAGAAACAACTTCAACTAGTTCCCCTGTTTGACCGATGCGTTCTCCCCATTATGTAAAGAATCACTCTTCTTCTCAGTTCTTCGTGATTCTCCAATTCGCAACTGTATGACCCGAGCAATAGCGATTGTCCATATCACAATCCACCATTTACGGATATTACTAGGCATCGACTCGTGGAATACACCTGGTGCCATGAACATCTCGGGAGCCCAACTGATGCTCGGAGGTCGACCCACCTCTGCCATACTTGATGCAGAGACCGAGCTCCAAACACTGAGTGATCGTACCGACGACGAGGTATAACGGGAATGTACTCAATTTACCATTCAGCAGCTTGATAAGCTCCCTGAGAATAATAACAATAATAATCGCGGAAATGTCTGGGATACCGAGTATGGACACGCGTACGTTGTGCAAGGCGGGGCGAAGAAGGCCCAGAAGAATGTCCTGCACACGAGGATCCAATGTGACGTTGGCATCCACAATTCGAATCTGAAGCGGTATGGGAGTCATTGCCTAAGGTCAGCCCAGAATAATCATCTACTTTATAAAGAATAGCGTAGTATCGAGCAGCTCAACGAAGATGGTCATGAAGAGGAACACAAGGAGCTTCCGATGATCGGACCACCACCCTCCCCGGGGAAATCCTATCAAGATGGATGACATAAGACGTTTTACATTACCTCTCATTACCCCAATCGTAATCTTCCAGTCCCAGTTTGCGGATAACAGTCATGCCTAACCAGATGCCCAAAGCGTTGCATCCCAAAACGTCTAAGAGCACCGAATCCCACCTGACCAAGTGAACGTGAGATGTACTACGGCGACGGGCGTACTACCAACATTCATAAAAATTAGGTAACAAATGTCTAAAGGAAATCTCGATGAACTCGAAGAGAATGGATAAATACCACACCAATGCTGCATCCCTAATTATGATAGTCTTCCACATCCAGCCTGACACACACCATCTCGCGATCATCACCAAAGTTTCGGGACCCCCATTACTACCAAGTAAGTGACAGGCTATGAATATATCAATCCTGTCGAGAAAGTTATGTAAATGTTTAGGATTTTTGGTATCCCACAACTCGCAATTATCCGCATAGTTCTTTTCAGGCAGCGGCTTACCCAAGCTCGGGTCCAACCATCCAAGAAATTGGCTGAACATTATCGATAACAGCATCAGCGATAATAGAACATTACTCCTATTACATTGCTTCCTCCCTATCATAGTTGAGCAGTAAATACATCAGGAAAAATGAGTAACACAACGCGATGCCCAGCATCACTCTCCATGCTGCTTTGAAGGGCCTGAGGGGAGACTGTACGGCCTTGCCAACATGCTGATGTATTCTACTTAGTGAAAACGCCATGGTCGGGTAAATAGGCGACACTGAGTGAGACCACTATCACAGCTCCACTGATCATCTCTGCTTTCCGCATCACATCTCCGTCAACATCACCGAGAGACGCTACCAAGTTGATCCCCTGTTGTAGTACTGTTTGCGCCGCTCCGCCAACATCATCCAACGCATGAGGATACGACCTGCTCTCGCCGTTCAATGCAGCGGCAGCAGTAGGGAGAATCATCATTCACAGTAAAGGCGGCCCTAGCGAGTGCAAAAACAATACCAGTAAACCCGAATGATTACTCTCGAGCAGTGACGGTGACGAGATACGCGCTCGCCCACCTTGGGAGCACAATGAAACGCACAGGCTGACCAGCAACTTCTCCGCGCAAACTCAATCTAGGCATTGCGCCCTGCATATAGTTGAACCCAAGAGTTGTGAAGGAGTGGGTTGTTAAAGGTTATAAAACAATTGATTCAACACACGAAGCTTATATTGGTGATGCTACCATACTGTGTCTATCTCAAAACTATCATCCTCGACATTTCCCCTCACCCTTCCATCATAGACATGCATCGTTGTAGTAGGTGTAGTGACAGAAGGCCGTCAAGACGCCAGGTTCACATAGTGCAACGAAAATTGGATATAATGAACATCGTGCCTCATCCTGATTAAGTCCATGCAACGACTTATTTCGAAGTCTTTGCACTTTTTTCCAAGTTTTGAAAGGTGGATACTCCAAATACGTGTACATGGAAAAATGCACTTTGATCGGTCCCAGCCCTGAAAAGTGAGATCCGCCCTTCACTGGGAGGAGTGCAACACACACGAAGGTGACATATATGGAGGCTACCACGATAAGAGAACACATGAACATGTCTAACATAAACGATGATGATGATGCATAGCTGATGGTCATCACTTGAAAGCAAAAAAACCAAAAGCTTAGGAACAGTGACTCTAAGCGAGTGATTGATGAGAGTCTTCAGTTGACCAATCTCAATCGCAGAACTTCCTGGAACCGTATTTGCCGAATATGCATTAACCGTAGGATCCATTCTGAACTCCACAAAGAGATCGCGTCGAGGGGGTATCTCTCCAGTGAGTAGTAACTTGGTAAGAAACTGCTTCTAACGCAAACGCAATCTCCAATCCCAACAAAGACCGTACGATTAAGAAAATGAGATTACTGCTAGTCTTGACGATCACAGGAGGAAGGGGACGATCGCCTTTCGATGGAGTTTCTTGTAATCATCGAATTTCCCTTCATACCATTTATGCTGCTCAAGGGCTCTTGGAAAGAGGTTGGCGAAGGTGCAGAAAGCCTGACATCAACAAGATTAACTATAAAGCATGACTCAACGGTAACTACGAAAGTAACAGGCGCCAATCCCCAACCGCTGGTCATGGCGTAACCAAGCCATTCAATCATCTCACCGAGATAGTTCGGGCACGATACGAACCTGATATAGTGAACTATGGGATATGATCGCGAAACTCAGTGAACATGGATTCACCTGAACATGCCTCCATAGGGGATAAAGTATCGTTGCTGCTCATCCCCTGCTCCTCTCCTCAGGTGCCGTAGTATATAGTCAGACTGGAGATTGACTAGTAAACCGATCGCATAGAGTGATGTTCCAACGACGAGCTGCACTGTGCTGATCTGTGATGGGTTGAGCATGCAACGAATCCAGATTGACTGTAAGCAGCTGTTCGTACAGCCTGAAGACCAGTGCGAGTTACTCGATCGAAGTGGATGGCTTACAGAATGCAAATGCGGATAGTACTATGCTGATCGGAGTCTTTCGATGGCTCTGCATTAGCATTGGATATATAATTGACCCTGAACGCGTTAGTGAGGTTGCCTGGCTAGTGCACATCATTACGTTGAAAGTAGTGCAGAATCAGCATGCTGAGCAAAGCGATCTGGAGAGAGTGTAGATCGGACCATTCAGAAATAAGGCATAAAAAGGGGAGGAGCAGGGATGGAAGCTCTTGGAAGAACCATCCAATCCTGGGATCTATCTTGAAACTGTACGAACCTGACGCCAGAGTGGTATGTCCGGAGGGAAAATCCGAGACCTCAACTCACCATAGCCAGATTCGATCATTTTACCGTAGGCGGCGGTGACACCAAAGAAACCGACGAAAAGTACAGCAGCAAATCCTACAATGAGTGCATATGAAACCACCTGACAAATAGTGTTAGAAGATCTGGTATTGATTAACGGCTAGTAAAGAATAGAACCGTTACTCACCCTTGTGGCTTGTATGATCCACGGAGTGCACATGTCTGACATTATTAATAATAGTACCGAGCTGTCCAAGTAGATAGGGACTTCGAAAAGTGAGGTAACGAGAGTATTGAGTGTTAACCTCGCGGATGTTTCGTGCGATGTTTACTCTAGCTCTCCCTAGGGCGCGCGCGATATGGAAAAAAGCATGATCGATTTCCAAGTTGTCATCCGCGATGACAAAAAAGAAGTCCTCTCAAAGTCTACAACTTTAAGGTTCCTTTAGGAGGAAATCATTGAAGTGAGCCCTGTGTAGAGACTGTGCTCCGAGAGCTCGGAAATGGCAGTCGAGCCTTCCCGGCTGTAGGGCGCGGACGTATTGTGGAGCACTTATCAGTTGAGCATAGACGTCCACAACGCAACAGTGAATTTCGGTAAGTATGGCAATGGTGAATCGATGAGAATAGTCTATACGTTCGACGGGCGTGGCGGCCTCCGAGAGTGTCTCGTCGAACGAGATCGTCGTGAGCAGTGGCGTGCTAGAATCTCCTTTCTGTGCTCCGGATACCGTGACCACGGTATAGCAGCATAGGAGTAAGGGGCAACTGCGAGCTGACATCAAAACCGAATCTGGTACCACGCGGAGCGACGCTCAAGCTCAGGCTTACTTTACTTCGGGGAGGACCGATCTTGTGGTCACTCTTACGTAGTATACCAACATCTGAGTCCTCTGGTACTATATACGGCACTGTGAGAGGATCAGGTTCACAAGTGTACCTAGAGGTGGGCTTGAGCGTTCAATGCGATCAGCTTTTACGTACACTGCCGCCCGAGCAGTATCAACCCCAGAATCTGCCCACGACGGTCGCGCATTCACTAGGGGCTTTTCGATGCTAAAACAATCATCCCATCGTCTCTCAGCTGTAGTCATACCAGGGAAACCTGTGGAGGGAGCTCACACTCAGGAATAGGAGATCGTGCTTACCAGGGTAAGCCTCTCCAGCACCTAGCGAGCTGAGGTCAGGAAAACTCTTTGAATGCACTACACCATGCAGACAGTAAGCGGCTTGTCTCGAAGCATTGAAATGTGGCGAGCGTTGACCCTATGAAAATATCGGGGGAATCTTGATGTCCACATCTCACTTTCTTGAATACACTCTTGCCGTGACCACCTGCTGCTTCCCAGAAGGGGTCTTCATAACTAGATGATGATGGTTGTTCCTAAGTCGTTACTGCCCAAACGAGACCAAGTCAATAGCAACTCACATTGGCATGTGCAGCATGTCTATTCTCCAATCTTATGAGCTCTTGTAAATTCCTACCGCCACCATACCACCAACCACTTGAATGTGGATGGTTTGTTGTCCCAGTGAACATTTATAGCTTTCGTGGGAGTGGCTACTAAGTCGGACACGTAGTAGGTTACTCTCAGCTGGGACTAGTCACTCCAACAATCTCCCAAGATTGAGACTCAATAATGACCTTCCCGCGCACTATTGCTTAACACAACTCCTATCATTCATTGGAGACAGTAAAGGCATCCTACTCTGAGCAGCATAACTCCAACTACTGGGGTAGCCTTATAACGCTGGTAGGACCCACAGTGGTCGAGCCATCACTGCACGTGGCCGTGAGAATATGAGTCGAAGTAGGGGCCACTGAACTACGGTAATTGACGTAAATATTGGTACACACTCTCAGCGTCAATGATTGGACCACGCAAAACAGGACTTGCCGGTAGAGCGAGAGACTGCGCCATCGCCAAGCTTGTAAGATCTCTACCGTGCTTGGTGAGACGGGAAATCCATGTTTTCTCTACTTCTCCTTAAGGTCGGACTCCCTTGCTTTCCGATTTGCCTTATACTGAGCTCGGCCTGCCATTTTAGGCTTACCCTAACGAGCGACCCTGAGCTAATCCATCGGGAAGGGACTAACCCTGTCTGACTTGAGATTGGAATCATAGTTTGACCCTAGCCAGCAGTGTGCCATAGACCTCGTCCCATACGATTATATCATCCCAGCGGTCCAAATAGACTCGCAGCTCCACCGATACAGCGAGCACTGACAGTGTGATAGTTAGTAAGCTGCTCAATACCAATAGATGGTTCCTCTACTAGATAACTGGGATGACAGAACCTGCCAAAAATGAGGTAATACGATGTTAGACTAGTGATGTCCTCGTTGACCTGGTCATACCGAGAGCCTATTGTAAGGATGTGGTTTGGCTACCACAAGGTCTATGAGAGTATGTCTGCTGCCACGCCTACTTCCCCTCATTGCAGCCTCCTCTCAACCTCAATATACATGGTTAATCGCGGCCTATTGATACCATGACCGAGCAGCATCTGTAAGGTATCTCTGCCCAGAAAACTCTTAGGTGGCTCTGCAGTGTCCCCCCGCACTTCCTAGAGGATGCTCTCCCAAGCCTGCTACGTATACTATTAGTGGCGAGCTCTACCCCAGTATCAGTCAATTACTCGTCGATTATAGGCCTATACCAGCTGTGTCATCCCTATGAGACGGACACAGCACTATGGAATCGGGCGGCTGGAGAGGATTTTACGGCGAGCGCTAAGTCATACTGCGCAGTAAAAGAATTTCTGCCGTTCGAGCGGAGCGAAACTGCCTACTGCGAGCCTTTACATCCTCTAGGATGAGTACCTTACATTTGCATCACAGCTAGGTGTCATACCATCCCTTTCCGAACTCGTCTCTTAACTTCTAAAATGAGTAGTAGCTGTTGTTTTTTAATGTCCGCGGCTACGGTAGTTTCAGGATCTGTTGCTGGTGGTGGGAACCGGTCAATACCAGCACGAGTAGTAGTCAGTGAGCAAGAGCGTCATAATGCAGAGGATCTCGCCTTCGACCTAAGGCAGATGGTCCGAAACGGTCATATTAACGAACCACAGTGCAAGGACCTCAAAGAGCAGTGTGAGCTTGAGTTTAGGTAGGCCTTTAGACATTCATTCCGATATCAACTATTGCCTTCTTCTTAGTCGTTGGGAGTCGTTGGCGCAGCAGGCAGCTAACAGGGAGGACTTTGAAGAGTTCGAGCGGCTCACAGAGGTAGAATGTGGACTAGCATCACCCTACAGCGCTGGACCTGTTATTAGATTGCCCACAAACTGGGGGATGCCCTAAGGGTCTATGATGATGCCAGCAGAGGCGACGCTGGTGACGATAGCACTCGACTAGACAGAGGCCTCAGTCTTGGTGGCCAGTCTGCAGTAGCCCCTCTAGCTGCCTCTCCAGGTGGTATAGTAGGCTGAAGGTATGTGGTGATAGTGGACAGTGTAGGTACATTCCGAGATACGAATCGAAACGACGCCCCGCTGACCTCACCGGTGGCCGATGCTGACCAACCGCCTCCTCCGTCGGGCAATGCTGAGAAGAAGTCTCGAAAGAAGAAGAAGAAGCATCAGCGAAAGCAGAGCGTCGAATCATTCGAGGACTTTGGTGGTTCAGCCCGTGGGGGCCCTCAGCAGCCCGAACCGACCTTCCCAACATTTGAAGGGGCTGATGCTTGGGGGACTGTGTTCCCCGACCCAGCTCCGGTAGTGGCACCTTCTCCTGTCAACGACCCGAATGCTGCTGTGCTACCGGTAGTAGGGGGGGCCTCGATGGGTTGACAGAATGGGTACTCCTTTGTAGGGCAGCGGAGTGGGGGTAGGGCCTTTGCCTGAGCCTGAGCCGGCCAAGGATGAGGCTGCGGAGAAGGTAAAGGCTTTGGAGGAGGAGAACAATGATCTGCATGAACAAGTGGAGACTCTAAGCAGGCAGCTCACTGTGGCCCAAAGTAGTAGAGGCAATGCAGTAGATGGGGCTGTTGGTAGTAGTAATGATGTTAGGTGGGATGGCGATGCTACAGGAACAGTTAACTGCAGCTCAGAAGACCATCACACAGCAGGAGCATGAGCATGCTCAATTAGTCGACAGACTAGGCAAGAGTGTTCAAATAATCACCAAGCTGAGGCCTATGCAGGGCAAGGCTGAGGTAAGTGGGTGTAGGGTCTACACGGAGGAGGAGGAGGAGGAGAGGATGGGTGTATAGGTGCTGGAAGAGAGGCTGAAGGCGGCTAATGAGGAGAGTAGTAGCCAGCAAGCACAGTTGACTCAGAAGGATAAGGTTATTAAGACCTTGGAGGCCCAGTTAGAGTCTAAGAGTAAGTAAACGTACTTAGAGGGTCATGAGATTGAAGTGGTAGGTAAACTGTTGACGGAGACGAGGCAGAAGCTATTTAGTGAGAGAGACAGGGTGTTGGCTATGAACCAGGAGATTGCTAGTCTAAGGGTGGCGAATGATGAGGTACTTGTAGTAGAAACAGCAGCAGCAGTGGTGGTGGTGGTGGTGGTGGTGTTGATAGAGATGAAAGCGTTGTAGGTGCAGCAAGAGGCTGATCAGCTAGCAGCTAGGGCTGGTGTTCGAGAGAAGCAACTACAGCGTATGCGGTATATAGTGGATGCCTCAGGCCTGGTGGAGGAGGACTCTAGTGGTAGGTGCCTGCCTCCTGCAGTTAGGGGTATGTAGGGTTGGATTTAGGAGCTCCACCAACGACTGGTATACTATCTCAAATAGGGAATACTGCGCCTGATCTGCGGACTAGTAGTGGGATGATGACGATGCGGGGTATGCCGTACAGTCAGGCCTCGTTGAGTCAGAGGCAACATATGGTAATGATGATGCTAAACTGTTATGGTCATGGTCCGTGTAGTTGGCTGGCACTATGAATAGCATACCTGATACCACTCCAAATGGAACTTTGGACTATGCCACTCCTAGCAGAGACTCCCTTACGCGGATACAGTCTCAGGCTACAGTGGCTGATATGAAGGACCCATTGTTCTTCCGACAGACCAACGATATTGATTGGGGAAGTAATTTAATTTCGTGGCGAGTGACGCTGATGATTCCTGTCACTCGTCAGGAACGGAAGTCCACGCCTTAGCTCAGCCTATCAGCGATCAGTACCGACTTATGCTCCAATGTGGAAGTGGGGAGTATTCAGGTCGGCTGTCCCTCTCGTTGGAGGCTTGTAGCCACACGCTGTGCTGGTCAGGATGCGTTTTTGAAGATAATGCTGTTAGTTTGAGAATGCACTGCTCTGTGCAAGGCCTTGGTATTGATCTCAAGTTCGAGCTATTTAATAAGGGGGCCTCGCCATTGGTATAAGTGTGAGAGTTTTGGTATGAGCATATCTCTCTGTGTGCAGGTACAAGCGAATCTGATAGCTGAGCCTAGGAAGGTTTCGGCCCTTGACTTCGCCATAGAACCTGTCCCTAGTAATGGTAGCGAATGGACGTTGCTGTTGTTAGTTTGCTGGTGATATCTTAGGTCGGAGCCCAGTGGTGATGGGTGGATCGAAACGTGAGTTCACCGGCCGACTATTGGTTAGGTCGCCATATGAGTTCCCTCCTGTTATGTGCATCAACTACGTGAGAATAGTGTCATTGACAGTAGCTGTGGTGGAGGTCCCTCCCCAGGTACTGTCTGATGGTAGTCCTATCAACAACTACATCCGCATCCCTCTGCCCATTGTGAAGGTGGCTAGACCAGCAAGTCCCAGTATGTTGTTGTTACATGGAGCCAAGGCTAGATATTTTTGCATCGCTCCGCTTATCAGGTTCAACAGTATTTTTCGAGCATTGGCGTAGCGAGAAGTTCAGTCTTTGCGAAGTTACCTCGAGAATTAGTCTCAGGAATGAGTTCACTCAAGCGGGTGGACTGGCGGTAAGGCGTGTTTAATACGCTAGCTTGTTTCTCTGTATTAACCCCATGTTTTAGACACTGGCCAACGCGCTCGAATTCGGTGGCAATATGGCGCGCTTGGCCGGCCTTGACTCAACAGCAAGGTCTGTTGTAGTTGTGGGAGTGGTGAGTGAAGTTGTTGTTGTAGTAGTAGATGGTGTGATCTTGGTGCTTATCAGATACCATTTGAGACGCCTGTAGAGGTAATGATCCGAGTGGAACTAAGTGCACGGCATCCTGGGGAGGCTAGGGTGGAGGTTAGGACACCTAATATGGTGAGCTGTTGCTATTGGGGGTTGGGGTACACATGATCATCATCATCATGGTGGTGATCAGATACTAAGTAGAGCAGTCCGCAATGCTATTGGTGAGGTCCTATCTACTTGGACAGCGTGAAGGGTTGATAGTAGTAGTATTGGAATTGGGTCTTTAAAAGGAGTGAGAGACAAGGTGTTAAATTGTTGTTGTATTATCATATTTATCATAAGCATCCTACGGCGATAATGGGAATGTAAGCATATGCGAAGTTGACTACTTCTACTACTACCATCATCCCCACTGATAGGGTTGCCACCTAACATTCACTTTCCACCCCAATACTCTGTCTTGGTTCTGTAATTTCATGGCGCGTGACGGAGGTCGTCGGTTCAGCGTAGTTTAAAATAATGTCCAGCGGAATTCCAAGCAACGAAGGGACGGAGCTGAAGACAGTGTCAATGTCGGAGCCCTCGACTGCTGCTCCTGGTACCCCCAGTGGGCTGGACAGTGGCCCTATGGATGGGGTTAGGGAACCTAGGAACAAGTTGGAGGAATTAAAGATGTACATCATGCCCATCGTGGCTCGCTACGGTCATTTGGTAGTGATGGACTCACCGAGGTCGAGTAGAGCGCAGTGTGGTAGGCAGGTACGGTTGGTCCGCCCCTGGAGAGAGTTTGTGCAGTTGAGTAAGCCGACGAAAGAAGGGGAAGTACAGAAGCGTATCACTGGGAACATTCAGTACTTCCAGGCTAACTATGCTATATGTGTCTTGGCCATATTGTTTGTTGGTGAGACCGGCGAGCGGTCGTTGTCGTTGTGGGAGTGAGTTATGAATAGGTATACTGACAACTCCCTCGTGCCTGGTCCTGATGTTGGTTCTGGCTGGGGTGTGGTTTGTTTTTCTGGGTAAAAACGAAGACCCTAACTGGAAGCCTAAGATCAACGGAATGGAGTTGTCCAAGACACAGCGCACCTTTGCCCTTCTCGCTGTAACATTTCTGTTGGTAGGTGTCTACCGTCTCCTTCTATCGGTCATCGCTTTTCTCACAGGTCCTCATCTTTGCTGGTGGGCTGATTATGTCAGTACTGGGGATATCCGCTGCCTTGACGGTAGTCCATGCTGCCTTCAATTCGGGCACGCAGTTTGAGGCTCTGGACGAGGCAGATCAAGCCTTGGATCAGATCTGAGCAGCGATGGTGAAGGGTATTTTTGATCTCATCGTAGTTGTTGTTGTGTTGTCACTGCATGGGAGGGCCTTGTCGTAGTATTACTGAGAGTAACGCAAGATGCAACCGATCTCGAGTGCATTAGGAGAGGGGGAAGGACAAGGTGCTTTGGTGACTAGAAAACCCGGTGGGTGGATATCGAAGCGGAAATGTGTAGCTTATTGAGCCTTGGTGTAGATAAGAAGGCTTCCTCACCGGTGATAGGGGCCAATCGATCATCGTCTGGGGCGGGTAGGAGGGGGGAGGTGTGAGGAGAGTTGTATGTTGTGCTGCTGGGTGTTGTAGATGATAAGAAACCAAGATTCCGACGACGCCGACAGAGGACTATTATGTCGGAGTTGCTGGCCCCTAATGATGCGAGTAGAGTGAGATCCTATATGGGAGGTAGTAGTAGTAGAGCAGCATCCTCCCGTACTCGGACAAGGCATGGTTGGTAGGTCCTCCTCGAGCACTTGATTGGATACCTCCATCAGCCGTCCTCAGTGAGCAGGTAAGGCATAGTTTGGGTGTCCAAATTATTGATCTACTAGGCGGGAGGTGATGTTGGAGTAAGACAACATATGGGGCTGAGTCTGGAAGGAAATGTCCAGAAGCGGCACGGTGAGCCAACCTCTGGTCTACCGCCAACCCCACGAAGGCGCACTATACAGGTAAGTTGTAACTGTACGGTGGTGCTTAGAGTGATAGTTACTGTAACTAGGTCCGTCCGAAAGTCATTGCTAACTTCACCCACATAGTCGGTTCGAGGCCACGGAGGGTCCTGGTAGAGAGAATTCGTCAGGAGCATTTAGCTGAGGACTTGGTTGGAATACTGAGATCTAAGTATGGCGTGTCCTTTGAGAAGGGCAGTGATGTGGATAGAGGCTCTTGGCTGTCTCTGGAGTACTTTGATAATACTGAGTACGATGAGCGAGCTCCTGAGGAATGGATAGCTCTGGGCTATATAGAGGCTCAGCGACAGAAGGAACACTTTGGTGCAAAGGGAGAGGACGTGAGTGACTTGCCGGACTTCCTTGCTTTGGAGGCGCTTGGGCTTTGTGATGAGGGTAGTTGGAAGCAGTGTTATGTCGTTACTTACGATTCGATGAAGGAGCGGTTTGGAGTGACCTTTGTTGAGGGCGATGAGGAGGTTATTTGGCTGAGTAAGTTGCGGGTGATGTTCGTAGGAGCAGAGAGCCCAGCTAGGCATGCGAGGCGGGTAGCTGATGCGGTGGCCTTGAGGAGGGCGACGGAGGCTAAGGTAAGGTATACTACGTGCTTGGACTGTATGCCTAAGAGTGGGGAAGGGAGGATGGGGGGCAACCAGGTGCTGAGAATAATGCGAAGGGTGACTGGGAAAAAGAGGCGGAGCGGAGGTGATCAGGAGAGATTGGAGATGATACTGGACGATGTGAATGCTGAGCTGACTAAGGCTGTGAATAGGATGACGATGTTGTGGGTGTTCGCCAAGGCAAGAGAGCGGCAGACTATAGATGAGGCCAGAGGGGATATGTCTATTGTCGCTTTGAAGTACCTTACTGATGATGTTGATATATCTGGGTCGTTGAGGAGGACCACTAGGAGGACTAGGCCAACAGGTTTTGGTCTACCTTGGGGCCGTCCAGTGCCAGGGTCGGCCTTGGTCCTCATGCCTGGGGTGGAAAAAGGGTTTGTTAAGAATGTACTGAGTAAGCTTACCTTTGATACATTGTTCACCGAGAGGGCTGTGATACGCACAGTAGTGGGAGTGCGGGCTCTCTGTATTGATTTGTTGAAGTCCCATCCTACTGTACAGCTACTGCCTGTCAACTTGCCCTATAAACCATGCAGTTTGGAGGCCTTTAAGGAGTGGCAGAAAGCGGCTATTGAAAAGACAGCAGCAAAGGTCGTGGACTGTTTCACTGGGAAGGTTGTGAAAATGATACGTGGGAATTTGGAGATTGTTGGTAAGGGATGGTTCAATATCGACGAGACTAGCCTGGTGAGATCAAACATGGTAAACGTTGATGTAGATAGGGTGTTGTCTTTAGGAGGTATATAATTATAGCAAGTTGAAGAAGTTCATCGTAGTGATGCGCCTGATGTTGCAGGATTGCCTCAGGGACTTGGCCATCAACACAGCGGAACTATATGTGAAGTACATCAAAAGGCATGTGCCGAGAGAAGTGCGTATAGAGGTGAGAATAGTGTCGGGTCTGGGAGTCGAACGTGTGATGTATATGCTTTCAGAACCTGCATACGGTGATAAACGAGTGGAAAGAGGGAACGGTTCGAAGCGACGGGTCTGATGCTCCTGGGGCGCTCTTCACCATAGAGATCAAACGTATTGAGAAGAAGGGCGAAGAGTCTCGTCGGTCAAGTGCCGCCCATGCGACTAATAGACTACTGAGGAAACGGAGCAGTGGGGAGGTATCAACTCGCGCAGCTTCTGCTGCTGGTGCTGCTAACGCACGGCGAGCATCATACACTCCGGAGTATGAGTTCGCCTATGCTACCAATCCTGCGATGTACGTCCAGGCTGTAGCTGGGGAGACACTACTCACTGCATTGAGAGCTATCAATGACGTACCTCACATAGAGAAGGCCACAGTGCCTCAGCTGTTCAAGTCGGTAGTGTACCGACAGAAGTTGGCTACACTGAGCTTGGATGACGATCTAGTAGTGAGGGCCAAGGAGGAGCTGGAGGAAGAGTTAGCGGGAAGTGTGTTGAAGGCACTACAGGAGTATATTGGGATGCTTGCGCCCTACAAAGAGTTGTTGTTACTGGAACCTGCTAAGTTCATTGAGAAAACGCTTGATGATGAGGAGACCCCGGCCACTACTGAGGAGGTGGAGGCGGATATTATCAGTCGTAACAGACTGCATGATGAGGTCTTGGAGGATATCCCTGATGTGGGGGTACAGATAGGGTGGGTGGAGGTCAGAGTAGGGGAGATTAGGAAAATCTTGGCCGATAAGCATAGGCAGGTTGCCAAGCTGGAGATAGATCTGCTCATGAGAAGGTATAGAGCTAGTTGTGAGCAGATCATTTCGCAGTGCCAAAGCATATCTACGATATTGAGGAAAACGGCAGAGTCGATCGAGCATCTGGCAGAGTTGAAGGAATACGCCGAAACCCAGTTGCCAAGTTTAATGGTGAAGATGAGTACTGATATTGAAGCCGCGTTGAGGATCCACGAAGCCTTAGAGAAGTTCAACGTGAAGCTAACCCCGGATGATGTGAGGCAACGATGGCGTATTTTCCAAGTGCCGAAGGATATTGATACGGAGCTCGAACAAGCTAGGGAGAATTGGGCTCTTACTGAGAAGGGGTTCTCTAAGGATATGGCAGATGAGATGGAGCTTTTCTTGGAGACTCTGGACGATATCGAAGGCACCATTCTCACCTTCTATCGGTTCAATGACCTCAGCAAGTGTCATGAAATATACGCTAACGCTCAGTCTGTTAACGAGCGGCTGAGGGACGCAAGTACGGCAGCGAAGCAGTTCAATGCGAGGGAGGTGCTACTGGGGGTTGAGGAGGTTACTGATTACAGCAGGGTCGGGACTTTGGCCAAGGAATGGGAGCCTTATAATAACTTTTGGAAAATTGCTCATGATTGGGTACTCGATGAGCCCAAGTGGCGCCATGGTCGCTTTGATAGTATTGATGCTGGAGATATGGACAACAAAGTGGGGTCGGGAGGAAAGCAGTTGCATAAGATCCTCCGACAGCTGAGCTCTACTCCGGAGAACGCTACGTTGATTGAGGTGGCAGGCGAGGTGAAGAAGCAGTTGGAAGATTTCGAACCGTACGTCCCTATAGTGATGGCCTTGAGGAACCCCGGCATGAGGGAGAGGCATTGGGAGGCTGTAGGGCAGTTGTTGGCCCGGGAGGACGAGGAGCCGGTTAAGGTTGGTCCGAGCTATGCTGATGATAATATGGATGGGAGCACGAACTTCAATCTGGAGGCACTATTGGGCATGGGCATCCTCAAAGTGACGGATAAGGTAGCGGAGGTTGGCGAGAGAAGTGCTAAGGAGTTCAGTATTGAGAAACAGCTGAGAGGCATGCAGGAGGCTTGGCAAACGGTCGAGTTCGACTGTAGAGAGACTTATCGTAATACTGGTACTTACATATTGAAGGGCTCTGAGGAAGCGTCGATGCTACTGGATGAGCATATAGTGCTCACTCAAGCAATGCAGTTCTCCATATTCAACAAGCCCTTCAAGGAGGAGATCGATGCCTGGGCTACTAAACTACTCTATGTGTCGGAGTGCTTGGAAGCGTGGTTGAAGGTAGGACTGTCGTAGGTAGTCATGATGATGAGTAAGTCCGATAAACAGGTCCAACGCGCATGGATGTACCTCCAACCCATCTTTGATTCGCCCGATCTCATGGTGCAGCTGCCTAGCGAGGGTAAGAAGTTCAAGTCGGTGGACCACGTGTGGCGACAAGTGATGGGTCGGGTGGCGAAGGACTGCAAGGTTATCAATGCTTGCTCACAAGAGGGGCTTCTTGAGAAGTGGACCCAAGCTATCGAGGACTTGGAGTGGGTCCAGAAGGGCCTAGAAGACTATCTTGAAGTCAAGAGAGGTGAGCCTCTACTCATGTTTTGTCATTGACAAATCTGCTTGGTGTTTTCAGCTGCTTTTGCGAGATTCTATTTCCTATCTAATGACGAGCTGTTGGAAATTCTCTCCCAGACTAAGGATCCTACTAGAGTCCAACCTTTCCTCTGTAAAGTATTCGAGAACATGGCCAGTCTGGCATTCAATGAGGACCTCACTGTATCTAGTATGAGCAGTCTAGAGGGGGAGAACGTAACGTTCGTAGAGTTACTCTCGACGGCTGGTTGCAACGTTGAACACTGGATGACGGAGGTGATGTGACTTACTATCTTCATACCACACCATCGCTGATTCAGGTCGAGAAAGCCATGAGAGAGGCAGTGAGAGCAGCGCTATATAACGCTGTGTTGACGTATGTAGACGTGCCTCGCACAGAGTGGTGTGTGAGCCATCCAGCACAGACCATCCTCAATGCCAGCCAGGTACCACTATAGTGATCATGTTAGTATTCGAGGCCTTGTTAGATACACTGGACGTCGGAGGTAGAGGTCCATATAAAGGAGGGGACTGTTGGCCTATATGCTGAGCAGCTCCATCAGCAGCTCATGGATCTGGTGGCCCTCATTCGGGGCGGTCTGACCAAACTACAGCGGACAACGGTGGGGGCCTTGGTGGTTATAGACGTCCATGCTAAGGATGTTGTGGAGAAGCTCAATGAAGAGGCTATCACTTCTACCTCGGCATTTGAGTGGATCTCACAGTTGAGATACTATTGGAATAAAGACGATACTGGTAGAGAGAACTGTTGGGTTATGATGGTCCAGACGGACTTCCCCTATGGGTAGGCGGTCGGCTGTCTAGGTTGGTATAAGAGGGGCAGCCTACTTGTGTAGGTACGAGTATCTTGGCAACACCTTCCGACTTGTAATAACCCCACTCACTGACATGTGCTATATGACTCTAATGGGAGCCCAAAGCCTCAATCTAGGAGGGGCGCCTGCTGGCCCTGCTGGTGAGGGGTTCGAATCCACAGGTTGTAGTTGGTAAGATACGAAGTAGGTACGGGAAAGACCGAGACCACCAAGGATCTTGCTAAGGCTCTGGCCAAGCAGTGTGTTGTATTCAACTGCTCTCCTGAGATGGACTACATTATGGTTGGCAAGTTCTTCAAGGGTCTTGCCTGTTCTGGAGCATGGTATCGTCATCAAGCCTCATCTTTAGTGGCTCAGCTTCCTCCTTCCCCTCTGTAGGTGTTGTTTCGATGAGTTCAATCGTATCTACATAGAAGTGCTCTCCGTGATAGCCCAGCAGCTGTTGGTCCTATTTGGTGCTAAGGCCGAGCTGAGCAGCTACTCTGAATCAAAGGAGTTGGAATTTGAGGGTTCTACTATCAATATGAGGCCGACCTTCAACGTATTCATCACCATGAACCCTGGGTATGCTGGTCGAACTGAGCTACCTGACAACCTACAGGTCGGTAATCACTGCGGCTATCACTCAATAATCCCTTCCAACAGGCACTCTTCCGACCAATGGCTATGATGGTCCCTGACTACGCCCTCATCGGTGAGATCATGTTCTATGCCTATGGCTTTGCATCGGGTAGAGCGTTGGCGCAGAAGATGGTCAGCACGTTCAAGTTGAGCAGTGAGCAGTTGTCTAGTCAAGATCATTATGACTACGGTGAGGTGCCTCGTAGAGGGGGTGTGTTCTCTACTCGGGCTGTAGGTATGCGAGCTGTGAAGTCGACCATAGAAGCAGCTGGTCTGCTCAAGAGGCTACACCCTGATCAAGATGAGAATCAGATCTTACTCAGAGCCCTTAATGATGTCAATGTGCCCAAGTTCCTCAAGGATGACCTACCACTCTTCGCCAACATCATCACTGACCTTTTCCCTGGTAGCATTGCCTCGTCCTGTTGATCACTAATTGGTTATTGGTAGATACTGAGCCTCCTGTAGTGGAGTATGGCGAGCTGAAGCCAGCCCTGGTCTCTGCCTTGGACAAGGCGCGCATGCAGTCTACCGACTATGTTATGCTCAAGTGCATACAGCTCTACGACACACTACAGGTTGGAGGTCCCTTCGGCCTCCTTGGACTACCCTAATGCCTTGTCAGGTGCGACATGGTATGATGCTCGTGGGCCCTACTGGTGGTGGCAAGACCAACACCTACAAGGCGTTGCAGGCCGCCATGACTTCCCTGGCTAAAGAGCATGAACCTGAGTCCAGCTTTCAGAAGGTGAGAGCAGCAGCCTTCCGAGGCATTACCGGGACCTGACTGGCAGGTGCACACACATATCATAAATCCAAAGGCCATAACGCAAGCCCAGCTCTACGGCGCCTTTGATGAGATAACGCACGAGTGGAGTGACGGCATTGCTGCTGAAGAGTTGAGGGTGGCTGTGAGGGACACCACTCCTAACAAGCACTGGATAATCTTCGATGGTAAGGAGGTGAATCCAAAGGTCCTCTTATGAAGATACAAAGCAGGTCCGGTGGATGCCCTTTGGGTTGAAAGCATGAATACAGTACTTGATGACAACAAGAAGCTTTGTTTGGTATCGGGGGAGATCATCACTCTCACCGCCCAGGTAGGGGCGTCCCCTATGTTCCCGCCGCTGGTCACTTCCATGATAGATACGAATGATGTTCGAAGTGTCCGACCTGGCAGTAGCATCACCAGCTACAGTGTCGAGGTGCGGTATGGTGTATGTCGAGCCTGAGTCCCTAGGTATGAACCCTCTCATAGACTCATGGCTCTCTGGCCTTCCTCTATCCTTTGCTCATTATGCCCCAACGTACAGGGAAAGGCTCCGAACTTACTGCTATGACTACATCTACAACACTGTCATGTTCGTCAAGAAGCGGCTTCATGAAATAGTCTTTGTGATGGAGAATGCCCTATGTGCGAGCTGCCTCAGACTACTCAGTTGTGAGTTCGACCGTCTGCGGCCAACGGATTACGTCAAACTAGAGAGCCTACAGGAGCCAGTGAAGGAGCTCGAACAGGCTCTAGGGTCGGTATTCATATTCGCCATCCTGTGGTCGGTCGGAGCTGCAGTTGATGGGCCTGGTCGAGAGCGCTTGAGCAAGTTTCTTTGGGCTACTGTGTCGGACACAGCGGCTAGCGAACTAGATGAGCAGGACCGGGGAGGAGATGGTGCGGGCTTCCATCTTCCTCCCAGACATGTTGACGATATCCACTTGAATGGTGTAGAGGAGGGAGACAACCTCTTTGGCTACTGCTTCTTGGTTAGCGAGAACCGCTGGGTCCCCTGGCTTGAGACCATACCACCCTTTGTGGTTCCTAATAATACTAAGTATGAGGATATAGTGGTACCTACTACTGATAGTGTGAGGTCAACTCACTTGTTGAAGACGCTATCTGAGCATCATCATCATACGCTTGCCTGTGGTCCTACTGGGACGGGCAAGTCGGTGAATACCGCACAGTACCTCCTCAAGGGCGCGCCGGAAACCTTCCAGCCGGTGTTCGTTAACTTCTCGGCACAGACTCATGTGAACCAGTTCCAGGATTTGATCGATTCAAAGCTAGAGAAGAGGCGTCGAGGGGTGTTCGGCCCTCCAGCAGGGACGAAGATGATCCTTTTTGTGGATGACCTCAACATGCCTCAGAAGGAATTCTATGGTGCCCAGCCGCCCATAGAGTTGCTCAGGATGTGGCTTGACCACGGCGGGTGGTATAACCGTAAGGAACTCCTTTTCAATAAGGTCGTCGACATGGTCCTTGTGGGTTCTATGGGCTGTCCAGGAGGCGGCAGGACCTTCATCACAGAGAGGCTCAAGAGACACTATCATCTCATAGGGTACACCGAGCTGAAGGAACAGTCGATCAGTGGTATCTTCAACACGATTGCCAACTACTTTTTCAAGGCTTTCGATGAAGAAGTTCAAACACTCGTGCCAAAGATGGTTGATGGAATCATAGACGTATGCCGTGACGAGCTGTACCATTGGTAAGTGCTCAATGGTCTCTGTTAGGTTTTCCAGAAGATAGGAGAGACGTTGCTGCCAACACCGGCTAAGAGTCATTACACATTCAACTTGAGGGACATCTGGAAGGTCTTCCTAGGCGTATGCGGTTTATCCAGACAGAAAGGGAACAACCCAATGATGGCCATCCGGTAGGTCTAGTGGTGGCTTGGACACTTATGATGATGTTTGCATTCAGCTGCTGGGTTCATGAGATAAATAGAGTTTTCGGCGATAGGCTTGTCGATGATAAGGATCGTGCATGGCTCGAGGAACAGGAAAGGGAGAAGGTAGGTCATCCTTTCGCTGCTCTTAATATGGTCATGCTTAGCTCCGAGGGTACTTCGACGTGGATCCGGATGAGGTCTTGAAGGCCGACAGGCTAGTCTTTGGCCGGTTCATGGACGTCGGAGCGGAGGTGCAACACTATGTTGAAATATCGGATATGGAAAGGATGAAACAGGTGAGGCCTTGACTGTGGTGGGGGGGAGCATCATCACGCCATGGCCGGGGTGACGATTGAATCCATTCTGTTCGCTTCGGTCTACGCCGATATTGAATACTTCTCGGGGAAGCAGATGGTCGGGGATGTATGTACAGTTACCTTCGCACCGGTTCGCTAGCATTTATAGGTGGTGTACTTATTGTCCTCTCTTCAGGTCATAGAGGCATATTTGGATGAGTATAACAGCACAGCAGTCCATAGGATGCCTCTGGTGATGTTTCTGGATGCATGTGAGCACGTATCTAGGATAAGCAGAATCCTCGATCAACCTCGAGCTAATGCCCTCTTATTGGGTGTTGGTGGGTCCGGTAGGCAGTCGTTAACACGCTTATCGAGCTTCATCTGTGACTATGAATGCTATCAAATAGAATTGGCCAAAGGGTATGGTATGAATGAATTCAAGGAGGATGTTAAGACCTGTCTTATGAAGTGTGGAGTAGAAGACAAAGTTCAAGTATTCCTATTCTGTGATACCCAGATCGTTTCTGAGGAAATGGTAGAGGCCATCAACAACGTGCTCAATAGTGGAGATGTTCCTAACCTGTATAAAGTAGAGGACCTCGACACTATCGCGTCGGGGTGTCGAACAGTATGTCAACAACAAGGACTACAGCCAACGAAAGCGAACATCTTTGCAACCTATCTCTCGAGAGTCCAGAAGAACGTCCACGTGGTATTGGCCTTCTCGCCTGTTGGAGATGCCTTTAGAACGAGGCTGAGGATGTTCCCATCATTGGCCAATTGCTGCACTATTGACTGGTTCGCTGAATGGCCCGCTGAGGCACTTTACTCAGTGGCTGAACAGGAGATCCTTGGTGGCAGTGTACAACTACCCAATATGGAAGGGATACTCAACGGCTTCAAATTCGTTCATCAGAGTGTTGAAAACGAGGCGAAGAAGTTCTTCGAGGTGCTCAAGAGGAAGGTGTATGTCACACCCACGAGTTTCCTAGAGCTTCTCAACTCCTTCAAGAGTATACTAGCTGAGAAAAGGAAGGATGTCGGCCTCCTACAGCACAGGTAGGCATTTTCTCACGGTCATTGAGTATGGTCTCGGCAGATACCAGGTTGGCCTCGATAAGATATCTCGAGCCGAAGACCAGGTAGCCGAGCTACAACAAGACCTGGTGGCTATGAAGCCTGTGTTGGAACAGACGTCGAAGGAGGTGCTGCTGTCAGCTGCTATCCTTGGCCTTAATGTGTTGGGTGTAGGTGGCCGAGATGATGGTGGTTATTGATGATGATAAGAAGGATGCAGCGGTGACACAGGAGGCTGTGGCTAAGGAGGAGAGTGAGGCCTTTACTAAGAAGGAGATAACTCAAGCCATTAAAGACGATGCCCAAAGGGATCTTGATGAGGCCATTCCGGCTCTGGAGGAGGCTGTCAGGTCTGCCTGCCCCTCCCCTTTAGTGTATCATTGACGTATCGTTGTGATCAGGTGTCTGTCGAAGTTAAAGGCTGAACATGTTCGTGAGGTTAAGGCGATGACGAATCCTCCATCAGGTTGGCAGCTCACTGAGTCATGAATATGATGCTGTCGTCAGGGGTGAAGCTGACAATGGAGGCAGTGTGTATTATGTTCTCGATCAAGCCTGTGAGGAAGAACGATCCCAACAAGCTAGGAGCCAAGATGGATGACTATTGGGAGAGTGCCCAAAAAGAGCTCTTGCAGGTGACCACAGATGGAAGGGCTGACGATCTGTTTATGCGACGCCTTGCAGGACCCGAAGAAGCTACTGGAGTCGCTGATGCATTACGACAAAGAGAACATAGCTGATTCGGTGATAGATAAGATAACGCCTTATATTGAGAGAGAGGACTTTGACCCACAAGCCATCAAGAAGGCTAGTGTGGCTTGTGAGGCCATCTGTATGTGGGTTAGAGCGATGTTCAAGTAGTGTACCAAGGAACGGGTACTGGCGGGTGCGGTATTGTTTGCTGTATAGGTACGACACTGTGTCGAAAGCAGTAGAGCCGAAACGTGTAAAACTGCGAGAAGCGGAGGAAGAGCTGAAGGATACCATGATGAGGTTGGACGAGGCTCAGGAGAAGCTGGCTCAGGTAAGGGCAGTATTTTAGATGACAATAGGTCATTATTGTTGCATAGGTCAACGCTAGAATAGCTAAGTTAGAGGCTGATTACAGTGCTGCGGTGGAGAAGCAAGAACAACTTCAGAGTGATAGCAACATGTAAGCACACTGTTGGAATATATGCCAGCTTTTCCCAGCTCAACTCAGGGTTCTCGTCTCTATTGTGGAAATTTTCTCGCGAGTTGAGGTACAGAAAAACCAACAATAATTTCCGAAAAAAACTTCGGAATTTTCAAATGTAGTTGACCATGTTCATATTTTCCCACGCTGTGTAAGCATTGTAGCTTCAATCGGAGTTTGGCAGTGTACTGTGTCAAGGTGCGAGGTGAAGCTTGAGAGAGCGCACAAGCTCATCGGTGGTCTTGGGGGAGAGAAATCGCGATGGAGGGAGAACGTGAAAAATCTATCCCGTTTACTAGACCTATTACCAGGCGATTGTTTGGTCGCCGCTAGTGGAGTCAGCTATCTAGGGCCCTTCACCAACGAGTACCGACTTGTGTGTGAGGCGGCCTGGCGAACTGAGATGTCGGCCCTGGAGATTGAGTACACCGAGAATTGCTCCCTACGGTCGGCTCTGGGGGAGCCTGTGAAGATAGAGCAATGGGTGGTCTGTGGCTTGCCCAAGGACTCCCTATCGATCGGCAATGGCATCATCCTAGATAAGGCTCGTAGGTGGCCTCTAATGATAGATCCTCAGCGGCAGGCTAATAAGTTTGTGAAGACGTTGGGGAATAGCAGTATTGAAAGTGGTATGGACATATGCAAACTCTCTGACACTAATTTGCTGAGGACTATGGAACTGGCTATCCAATTCGGTAAATGGGTCGTATTGGAGAATATAGGCGAGGAACTGGATCCAGCCTTGGAGCCTATACTATTGCAGCAAAAGAGTAAGGATGCTTCGGGTTACAGCATAAGGCTTGGTGACAAGAACGTCCCTTATAACGAGACTTTCCGATTCTTCATGACCACAACTTTACCGAATCCTCACTATTCTCCTGAGACTAGTGTGAAGGTCACCTTGTTGAACTTTGCTATCACACCTGAGGGGTTGGAGGACCAAATGCTGGGGATAGTTGTGTCGAAGGAAAGACCGGAGTTGGAGGCACAGAAGTCACAATTGGTCTCTCAGAATGCTAAGATGAGCGCACAGCTGAAGGCTATTGAGGATGAGATACTCAGACTGTTGGCGACTAGTGAAGGGGATGTCCTCGAGGACGATACCCTCATCAATGCAATTGCCCAGTCCAAGGCCACTGCTATGGAGATACAGGAAAAGCAGGCGGAGGCAGCGGTGACTGAGAAGAACATCGATGAGGCTAGAGAAAGCTATAGGTGTGTAGCTTACCGAAGTAGCCTTATATTCTTCTGTATTGTAAGCCTCACTAGTATTGATCCTATGTATCAGTACTCATTGAGGTGGTTCCAGCAGCTATTTTCTTTGGGGATAGATCAGGCCCCGAAGCCGACCGATGTCTCGGACTTGGATGCGAGACTGGATAGTCTTATAGACTATAACACTTATATCTTCTACCAGAATGTATGTCGAGGGCTCTTCGAGAAGGACAAGCTTATGTTCTCCTTTGCTCTGTGTATCAAGCTTATGCAGGGCGATGACCGTGTCCCTGCTAACGAGCTTAGATTCCTCCTCACCGGACCGACAGAGGACTACGTCGAGACTGGCCCGCCCATACCTGCCGAGTGGATATCAAAAGCCACATGGAATGAAGTGCTCGGTCTACAGTCCCAAGTGCCGGAGTGTGCTGGTCTTGCAGCTAGCATCACCGAGAAGGTTGATGAATTCCGGAAGATATATGATACCACGGATGCCCACAGTCTCAACCTGCCCGAGCCCTGGGAGGAGCTCCTCACACCTCTGCAGAAGCTGTGCCTCCTACGGACTCTACGACTGGATGAGGTCATCCCTGGAGTCGTTAGCTTCGTGGCTACAGAACTGGGCCAGAGGTTCGTCGAGCCGCCTACCTTCGATATCTCAAAGTCTTTTGCTGACTCTACTAATATGAACCCTCTTATCTTCATCTTGTCCAGTGGCAGCGACCCTACTAGTGATGTGCTTGCCTTTGCTGAGTCGATGAGCATGTCGAAGAAAATGGAGGCTATCTCGCTAGGGCAGGGTCAAGGCCCTAAGGCGGCTAAGATGATAAATCATGCAGCGGCCAATGGTGGTTGGGTTCTACTACAGAACTGTCACCTAGCAGCGAGCTGGATGAGCACTCTCGAAAGAATATGTGAGCAGCTCACGCCTGACGTTACTGATAGTAACTACAGACTGTGGTTAACGTCAATGCCCTCGAAAGCCTTCCCTGTTATGGTCCTCCAAAACGGCGTCAAAATGACTAACGAGCCGCCGAAGGGTCTTAGGGCTAACTTGATGCGGAGTTATGCTCAAATTAGTGACAACATATGGGAGGACAGTGCCAAGCCTGAGATCTTCAGAAAGCTCCTTTTCGGGTTTTGTTTCTTCCATGCAGTAGTGCAGGATAGGCGTAAGTTCGGTCCTATCGGCTGGAACATCCCCTATGGTTTCACTAACGAGGACTTGGCTGTGTGCCGACGTCAATTGATGGTCTTCATTAACCAGTACGATGAGGTGCCCTATAAAGTCTTCAACTACCTGGGGGCCCAGATCAACTATGGTGGTAGAGTCACTGACGATAAGGATAAGCGTCTGATCAATTGTATCATCAAAACCTTCTGTTGTGAGGAGCTTGTCACGGATTGTGCGCGGTATAAGTTCTCGGAGTCTGGTGTATACTATTGTCCAGAAGAGGCGGTATTCGTGAGTGATTTCATCAAGTACATTCTCACTCTGCCACTCAACCCGGCGCCCGAGGCCTTTGGTATGCATGAGAATTGCAACATCACATGTGCTCAGGCAGAAGCTGAAAATCTCCTAGCTGGTGAGTGCTCTCGAGACTGTCGTCGTGGAGTAGAAGTACCTTTCTAGGGATGATCGAGATGGCCCCTTCGGGTGCCGGTGGAGGAGGAGGCAAGACGGTTGAGGAGATGATCGATGAGACTGCGGCGCAGATCCAAGAGAAGATTCCTGAAATTGTTGACTTTGATTTAGTGGACGAAAGATATCCCACTAGGTAAGGTAAGGGCTGTCACTATTAGAATACTTCTTGGTGATGTAGATACGAGGAGTCTTTGAACACCGTTCTGAAGCAGGAAGTACTGCGGTACAATAGGTTGATCGAAATAATGGTATCAAGTTTGAAGGAGCTGAGGAAGGCCCTGAAGGGTCTTGTCGCTATGAGCGCGGAGCTTGAGACGGCCAGTCATCAGTTGTTTGCCAATACGGTAACATATGACTAGCGGCATATCACAACCGTTGCGATGGTACAGGTCCCGGATATCTGGGCCGAGTTAGGCTTCCTTTCTATGAAGCCCTTGAGTAGCTGGATCAACGATCTTGTGGACAGGATGGTCTTCATAAACCAGTGGATTGAGCACGGGACACCGAAGGCATTTTGGATGAGCGGCTTGTAGGGCGAAGACCTCTTTAGTGCCTTCTTCTGCTCGTTATGAATAGAGAGACTGATTTGTTGTTCCTTCCTAGGTTCTTCCCACAAGCGTTCCTCACTGGATGTCTACAGAACTACGCACGGAAGTTCACATTAGAAATTGACCGACTCCAGTTTGGATTCACTTGTCTGGATATTTTCAAGCCCGAACAGGTCACCGAGGCCCCCGAATATGGAGCGTAGGTCTAAATGCTTCTATCACCATGTCTGTGATTGATACCCAAGATACGTCTTTGGGCTCTTCCTTGAGGGGTGCCGATGGGATTCCCAAGCGAGGTTATTGAGTGAAAGCTTGCCTAAGGAACTGTAAGTGTTAGTAACAGTATTGTTACTATTATCAGTATTCCATGTAGTTACAACGAGCTCCCTATGATACATTTCTTACCAGAAGTCGACCGGGAGAAGCCTGCTGATGTGTACATGTGTCCCACGTATAAGGTCCTCTCTAGAAGGGGCACTCTCTCCACAACAGGACATAGTACCAACTTCGTCCAGTAAGCTCACGCTTCCGTCTTGTCAGCTCGTTCAGCGGTTGTCCTGGACGTGCGCTGACTGCAGTAGTTACTCTGATGTGCTGAGCCTCGTTAGAGAATCTCATAGGGAAGACAGAGCGTGGAGATTGGTGGGGCTTTAGGTACCTGGAGCTTCCCAGCGATCGTCCCCAAGACGTGTGGATTCGGGCGGGCGTTGCGGCCTTCCTTTCACTCAAGTTCTGAGGTTGACACCTCTCCGGTGTAGAGGAGAGTGGTACCGACCTTTGCTAGAAGCATGGCATGTTGGTCGATCTTATATTGTGTATTCTGGCGTGTTAGTGAGGTTACTGTCGTGTTCAGTGAATCCTGGGAAGAGGATAGGTGGAACGATTGAGGACTTTCCGCACAGTGTGTCTGTGTTACACGTAGTTGGTAGATGCCGTGTGACAACAGGAGTGTTGGTTGGCAATTCGTGGTAGTGAGTTTGATGATACTTCCCAACATGTCGAATTATTTACTTTGAAGTGGTTGTACTTGGCGTTGACAGTAGTTAAGATCAGTTCACGAGGCTAGTCAAGTGAATATTCCAGACCACTTGAATGACGGGAGGAAGGGAAAGGAGGTGGCTGAACATGTCCAATGCGTTTTGGATGACGATGTTGTCTTTCATACTGCACAGTGTTTGAAGCTGTGCTATATGTGATGGTTGTAGACTAATTTCTACCT